ATGTGGAATCATACACTAGATTTCTTTTTCTTTTTCTGGGGTCCCCCCCCCCTAATTTTGGGATTTATCCATGATGCCCCCCCCCCTGTTCCTTTTTATTGCTGAGTTGTCCCCCCCCCCTTAGTCCACTACCTTGGAAACAGACCCCCCCCCCAAGTGTGGTTTTGGGCACCTTCAACCCCCCCCCCCTGCCAGCCAACCACAACCATAAACCCCCCCCCCTCCAATCCATCCTGAAGCAGTAAGCCCCCCCCCCGATTTGTTAAAGGGGCATGGTTATCCCCCCCCCCCTAAGTTAAGATTCCTATGGATGACCCCCCCCCCTGGCTATATTGAACATTTGATACCCCCCCCCCCCTCAAATATTACTCTTTCAGCTAGTCCCCCCCCCCCCTGACCTATTTTTATGGACTTTCCCCCCCCCCCGTCACCATAGCTGCCATCCTGGAACCCCCCCCCCTTGTCACTTTCTTAAGTTATTCCACCCCCCCCCCTATTAAACTAACTTGTAAGCATGCCCCCCCCCCCAAAGAAGCTGGAATTTTTATAGTCCCCCCCCCCCTTAGATTACTAACATGAATACAAACCCCCCCCCCAAGCTGAAACTAACCATGTAAAATAATCTAGTTTCATCTTTTTATTTATTTTAAAAGATTTATTTATTTATTTGAGAGAAAGAGAGAGTGAGCAGTGGGAGGGGCAGAGGGAGAGAATCTTCAAGCCCCCCCCCCCCTGATCATGGAGCCCAACGTGGAGCCCCCCCCCCCCACCCATGAGACATGACCCAAGCCCCCCCCCCCAGTAGGCAGCCCAACCCACTGAGTCCCCCCCCCCCCTCTAGTTTCATCTTTTTAGGCACCCCCCCCCCCACAAAACAACTGTATAATCTCAACCCCCCCCCCCAATTTTTTTTGAAGATTATTTACCCCCCCCCCCGAGAGTGAGGACGGAGGGGGAGAACCCCCCCCCCAGGGAGAAGCAGACTCCCCACTGAGCAGGTAGCCTGATGCGGGACTTAATCCCAGGACCCCCCCCCCCTGACCTGAGCCGAAGTCAGACTTTCCCCCCCCCCGAGCCACCTAGGTGTCCCAAAACACCCCCCCCCCAACATTTTTTCTAGGGGCGCCTGGCCCCCCCCCCGGGTTAAGCGTCTGCCTTTGGCTCCCCCCCCCCCCCTGGGATCCTGGGATTGAGTCCCCCCCCCCCCCCCCTGCTGAGCAGGGAGCCTGCTTCCCCCCCCCCCTCTGCAGCTCCCCCTGCTTGTGCCCCCCCCCCCTGTCAAATAAATAAATAAAATCTTCCCCCCCCCCTTTTTCTTTTTTTCTTTAGAAGGACCCCCCCCCCGAGAGACAGAGGGGTAGGGAGAGAGAGAATCTTAACCAGGCTCCATGCCCAGCACAGAGGCTATCTTGGAGCCTGATTTCACAACCCTGAGACCCCCCCCCCAGCTGAAATCAAGAGTTGGCTGCCCCCCCCCCCCAGCCACACAGGTGCCCCTAAAAACATTTTCTAACAAAAGCCAAATATTAAGTAGTTGGCCCCCCCCCCTCTAAAAGTCCTAAAGACTTAACCCCCCCCCCCCTCATGACCTCATATGAGAATTTTGCCCCCCCCCCATTTATCATGCTGACAATTTGGCACCCCCCCCCCTGCCACACAGTAAGGGATTTTTTTCCCCCCCCCCTTTATTTATTTGACAGAGAGATAGCCCCCCCCCCAACACAAACAGGGGAAGTGGGAGACCCCCCCCCCGGCTTCCCACAGGGCAGGGAGCCCCCCCCCCCCCTCGATCCCAGAACCCTGGGATCATCCCCCCCCCCGGAGGCAGACGCTTAACGACTGAGCCCCCCCCCCGCCCCAATTTTTTTTTAAGATTTTCCCCCCCCCCTTTAAAAGATTTATTTATTTATTTCCCCCCCCCCAGAAAGAGAGAGAGAGATAGTGAGCCCCCCCCCCCAGGCTGAGGGAGTGGGAGAGGGACCCCCCCCCCTCCCACAGGGCAGGGAGCCCGATGCCCCCCCCCCTCCTAGGACCCCGGGATCATGACCCCCCCCCCCCGCAGACACTCAACGACTGAGCCACCCCCCCCCCCCAAGATTTTATTTTTAAGTAATCTCTACACCCAACGTGGGGCTGAACTCAACCATTGTAGCCAGCCAGGCACATCCAGTAAGGGAATCATTAAATTATTGTACATTCTTCCATTGGAATGTTAGGAAGCTCCTAAGATGTAGGTTTCATAGACATTTCAGAACATGGAAAAGGCTCATGATCTAATGTTAAGTGGCAAAAAGCAAAAAACAGGAGTTTCTCAAGTGTCCTTGAAACTAGGGGGAGATTGTTGCATAGGTGAGGTAATTTTTCATTTTTTTCCATAATTCATTAGTTCCCCCCCCCCTCTAATTTCAAAGGAATATTTGAACCCCCCCCCCGTTTTTCTTTGAAAATGAAGTTTACCCCCCCCCCTAAAACAGTAGCAAATTTTAACTTCCCCCCCCCCTTTTTTCTGTGTAACATTTACCTGTCTACATTGCTTTGATTGCAGTTTTTCTTAAAAACCCCCCCCCCGATATTAATAAGTCTATCACTCTACCCCCCCCCCAGGCTCTGTCTTTGACCCATGGGGCCCCCCCCCCATCATTTTACCCAAACATTTGTGGCCCCCCCCCCATAATATGTCAAGAAGGAACCTGACCCCCCCCCCAGATCAACCTTAGGGCACCTTTGACCCCCCCCCCTCACTCTCATGCAGTGAAATGAGTCCCCCCCCCCGGCAAAAGGGTGTTCTGTTCCCATCCCCCCCCCCACACTCATTCTCCCCTCCTCATGGCCCCCCCCCCAGATGAAGGGTTAGCACAGAGCACCCCCCCCCCCGGGGGGGGGGGGGAAGCAGAGGAGCCCCCCCCCCGCATTTCTCATTTCCCATCTTTTTCCCCCCCCCCTCAGCCCTGGCTCTGATTTTCATGCCCCCCCCCCCTTTATAGTTTGAGTGTGCTTTTCCCCCCCCCCCCTTTGCTTTTGGAACCTGTTCATACCCCCCCCCCCCAGCCCATTGCTCCACCCCAGTGGCCCTGCTTTTTGGGTTGCATGCCATGGGGTAGACCCCCCCCCCTGTCTCATGACCAAGTCTGCAAGGCCCCCCCCCCATCCATGATTTTCCAGGTTGGACCCCCCCCCCCCCATTTTTCTGTAACATTATAAGAGGTGTTTGTTTTCAAACTGCAATTACATTATTATGCCCCCCCCCCTAGTTTGGCCTCAACATTATAGCACCCCCCCCCCGAAATATGTTCTAGGTGACAAGAACCCCCCCCCCTACGTGGTGTATAAATAAGGTCCTGCCTGGATGATGTTATGCTGTCCTGAGGGATGTCCCCCCCCCCCCAGTGGGGTTTTAGAAGAACATTTCCCCCCCCCCAGATACTAGCTGACATGTCTGCTGCCCCCCCCCCTTCTGCACAGCCGACCACCGACCACCCCCCCCCCGGAAAGGCCCCACCCATTTGTGGACCCCCCCCCCTACCACTAAATTTTTTTTTTTAAACCCCCCCCCCATTTGTGGGGCGCCTGGGTGGCTCCCCCCCCCCCCGTCTGCTTAACGACTCTCTCTCTCCCCCCCCCCTAAATAAAATCTTTATTTTTTTTTCCCCCCCCCCTATTTATTTGAAAGAGAGAGACACCCCCCCCCCCGGAACACAAGCAGGGGGAGCGGGACCCCCCCCCCCAGGCTTCCCGCCGAGCAGGGAGCCCCCCCCCCCGCTCGATCCCAGGACCCCGGGATCCCCCCCCCCCCCGAAGGCAGACGCCCAACGACTGCCCCCCCCCCGCGCTCCCGCTTTTCTTAAAGAAACCCCCCCCCCAAGAGAGAGACACAGCGAGAGAGGCCCCCCCCCCAGGGGGAGCGGGAGAGGGAGAAGCCCCCCCCCCCCCGAGCAGGGAGCCCGATGCGGGGCCCCCCCCCCGGACCCCGGGATCATGACCTGAGCCCCCCCCCCCCGCCCAACGACTGAGCCACCCAGGCCCCCCCCCCTTTCTTAAAGAAAAAGGGTATTCACCCCCCCCCCGTAATAATTACTGTGTAAAACTGACCCCCCCCCCGGCGTATACAGTCCAGGCCCGGACCCCCCCCCCCCTTCCCAAGGATGCACTCCCCTGACCCCCCCCCCGCCCGTGCGCCCGCTCCGCCACCGCCCCCCCCCCGCCCCCGGAAAGCCCCCGCGCTCCCCCCCCCCCCACCGCGGAGTCGCGGGAGACCGGCCCCCCCCCCCGCCGCCCACCGACGCAGCTGCTCTCCCCCCCCCCGCCCTCCCGGCGCATTACCCGACCCCCCCCCCCCCGCTCCCCGGCGGGTGGAAATCGACCCCCCCCCCTGCCGCTTTAATCTCACTTATCTCCCCCCCCCCCAGGCAGAACGTCGTTTCAAACACTCCCCCCCCCCCTTTCAGGAATTATTTCGGACGCCCCCCCCCCCCGTAACTCCATCTCTTTTGCCCCGACTTAACATGGCGCCGACCGTCACCATCTCCGTAGCCCCCCCCCCCCCGGCCATCACCAAAAATGGCGTCCCCCCCCCCAGCCAGCCGTCTGCGCACACTCCGCCCCCCCCCCCACGCCCACTCTCTGGGGCCGCTCAGGGTTCCGCTCTAGCCGCCGCGCTCGGTGCGCGCCCCCCCCCCCCAATCGCGGGGCACGGATGCTGCCCCCCCCCCCCCCGGCGGATCAGCTGAGGGATCCCCCCCCCCCCTTGACAGCGGCGGCGGCGGCGGCGCCCCCCCCCCCGGGTTCGGCGCGGGGCGGGGGGTCCCCCCCCCCCGCGGGGCTGTGGTGGGTCCGCGGCCCCCCCCCCGCCGCCCGGGAGGAGGCGGGCGTCCCCCCCCCCCCGGCGTGGCGCGGGAGCCGAGGCCCCCCCCCCCCCGGGGCGGAGCGGCGGGCCGGAGCCCCCCCCCCCGCCGTCCGAGAGTCTCACCCGGCGCCCCCCCCCCTCGTCAGATGTGAATCCGATGGATCCCCCCCCCCAAGCCGAGCAGCCGCCGCAGCCGCCCCCCCCCCCGAGGCTCCTCCGTTTGGGCGCCGGCCCCCCCCCCCCGCAAGTCCTCCTGAGGAAACGGCCCCCCCCCCTCGGGCGGAGGAGAGGTGCGGGCCCCCCCCCCCCGTTGAGGGCGGGGACCGGCGGCCGCCCCCCCCCCGGCGGGGACCGAGGACTGGGGGGGCCCCCCCCCCGGGCCGGGAGACCGGGGTCGGGGGCCCCCCCCCCCTGCGCCCCACGCCGTCGAAGGCCCCCCCCCCCCGCCCGCTGTGCTATCCAGTTTTTCCCCCCCCCCCGGCTCTCGTGTAAGCGCTGCAGTTCCCCCCCCCCCTGGTCGGCCCGGTCACTTCCCAGCCCCCCCCCCAGATTATTTAATTCTTACAACTTCCCCCCCCCCCCGCATCAATGTGATCTACCCCTAGAATGCAGTCTTTTCAAGTTCATTACTACAGAGGGCCCCCCCCCCCTCCATGGAGTGAAATTACAGTCACCCCCCCCCCGAACCCTGGAAAATTCAGTGTGGACCCCCCCCCCCTCTTTAAAAAAATTTTTTTATTTCCCCCCCCCCGAGAGAGAGCACAAGCAGGGGGAGCCCCCCCCCCAGGGAGAAGCAGGCTCTCGGCTGACCCCCCCCCCCGATGCGGGGGCTCGATCCCAGGACCCCCCCCCCATGACCTGAGCCGAGGGCAGCCGCCCCCCCCCCCGAGCCACCCAGGCGCCGTTAAACAACACACTCTTAAACAACCAATGGGTCGAAGAAGACCCCCCCCCCGAAATTACAAAATACCTTGAAATGCCCCCCCCCCAAAATGTGATATGCTACAATTTATCCCCCCCCCCTGAAGCAGTGCTCAGAGGGAAATTCCCCCCCCCCGGTGGCTTCATTTAAAAAAGATCTCCCCCCCCCCGGGTGGATCAGGTCATGATCCCAGCCCCCCCCCCTCGAGCCCCACATCGGGCTCCATGCCCCCCCCCCAGCCTGCTTCTCCCTCTCCCACTCCCCCCCCCCCTGTTCCCTCTCTCGCTGTATCTCTCCCCCCCCCCAATAAAATCTTAAAAAAAAAAAAACCCCCCCCCCCAAGCCCCTGCTCTTAGAATGGAGCCCCCCCCCCTATTGATTGATTGAATGAACCTGGCCCCCCCCCCGCCCCAACAAAGTCTTGCAGCTAGCCCCCCCCCCGTGTGGTCACCCCTCCACGCTTAGCCCCCCCCCCACTAACTGGCCATCTGGCAGTTTGCCCCCCCCCCTACCTTTCCTACAGGGATTGAAGTCCCCCCCCCCACTCAACCAAAAAATTTAGTTCGTCCCCCCCCCCATCCCTCTGACTCTCTCTCTATATCCCCCCCCCCACTATACATACATTTTTTATTATACCCCCCCCCCTCCAGTCTAATTAACATACAGTGTCCCCCCCCCCGTGTATGATAAAGTGATTCAACAGCCCCCCCCCCTACTCAGTGCTCCTCAAGAGAAGTCCCCCCCCCCTCCGTTCACCTATTCGTTCATCCCCCCCCCCCCCCTCTGCCAGCCATCAGTTCTCTATCCCCCCCCCCCTTTTTGTTTCTCACTATATATTTCCCCCCCCCCATGTGAAAAAGTATTGTTTAAAAACCCCCCCCCCATATGTTAACTATACTGGAATAAACCCCCCCCCCAAAATAAAAGCCAAGTACTATGACAAAAAATAAAATGAGAATGAAGTAAAACACATTTCCCCCCCCCCATTTTACCATTTATGATGTACCTGCCCCCCCCCCTGTTTGTTTTTGGGTGTTTTTTGGCCCCCCCCCCTCTCAATATCAAGTTAATTTTTTTCCCCCCCCCCTTTTTTTACAACTTTGAATGTATTCCCCCCCCCCTGGAAACTTTTGAAAAATGCATTACCCCCCCCCCACTGATGTACTAGGAATTTGGTGACCCCCCCCCCCCCTGTTTCCAACCTGGCACCACCCCCCCCCCCCCTTTGGGCTAAGGACTTAACTTCCCATACCTTTGTACTTACTTCATAGAGTCACTGAACCCCCCCCCCGGGCTTACCTGAGAAATGTTTAAAAGGAGCCTGGCTAAGAGCACTTAATGTTAGCCGTCCCCCCCCCCACACAGTATTATAACATTATTTTGCCCCCCCCCCCAAGGAGCGAAAACATGTTGTTGACCCCCCCCCCTTAGTAGAATTCCTTTTGGTGAATCCCCCCCCCCTTTCAGCATAACAGAAGTTGCTGTCCCCCCCCCCTCAGGCTGCTGTAACAAAATGCCACCCCCCCCCCAGCTTAACCAACAAAAATTTATTTCCCCCCCCCCCTTAAGTCTGAGAAGTCCAAGATTCCCCCCCCCCTTGATTTGTTCTTGGTGAGAGTCGCCCCCCCCCCTGCAGACAGCTGCTTTGCTAGTCTCCCCCCCCCCGACAAAGATTTGGCGTCTCTTCCTCCCCCCCCCCCACCAGCCCTATCAGATTAGGGCCCCACCCTAATGATCTCATTTAACCTTTATTGCCTCCCCCCCCCCCCTATCTACAGTTACATTGGGGTTCCCCCCCCCCACATAGGAATTTTGGGAAAGACACCCCCCCCCCCAGTTGTAGAACTTGATTATTTTAACCCCCCCCCCCTGCTATATATAAGGCATTATGTCCCCCCCCCCCGGAGAGCTGAGTTGGTATGTGTGGGAAGGGAGATGGAAGACCTCACCTTCCCAAAGAGCTTCTCATGCTCGGGGAGTGGCAGAAGTGTGCACCCCCCCCCCCAGAAATTTAACCAACTGAATGATAAGCAGGGCAAATGCCAAGAATAGAACTTAGCACAGAGTATCTTGGATCCAAATTAGAATGCTGCTATTCCCCCCCCCCGAAGCTTGTTAAAAACCCATCCCACCCCCCCCCCGACTAGTGCTGGGTTGGGGGCTGGCCCCCCCCCCACTCTCCTGCTGGTTCTACTCAGTGTGCTGGGAAGATCATGAGCACAGGTGAAATTTGCCCCCCCCCCATGTAACAAAGCACTTCCCATAATCCCCCCCCCCGAAGTAAGACTTCTAATACTTCAGCCCCCCCCCCATACAGGTCACATATGGTAAAATTCCCCCCCCCCAGGTATTCAGTGAGTTTTGAGAAACCCCCCCCCCACTGCTGTTAAGAGGCAGAATGTTCCCCCCCCCCTAGAAAGATCCCTGGTGGTCCTTTCCCCCCCCCCCCTCCTCTCAGTCCCGGCTCTGGCCCCCCCCCCCCTAATTTCTATCCCTGTCATTCCGCCCCCCCCCCGATGTCATCTAAATGGAATCACACCCCCCCCCCCCACAGTCTGTGTATGTCTTCTTTCCTTTGACATAATCCTTTTGAAATTCATTTCAGGCCCCCCCCCCCGTCAGTAATTCGTTTCCCTCCCTTCCCCCCCCCCCCAGTGTGGAGCCCAACGCCGGGCCCCCCCCCCCAACCCTGAGATCAAGACCTGAGCTCCCCCCCCCCGTTGGACACTTAACTGATCAAGCCCCCCCCCCCCCCCAGTACTGTGTTTCTTTTTGATCCCCCCCCCCATTCCACTGTTTGGATGTACCACACCCCCCCCCCTAATTCACTGGTTGATGGCCCTTGCCCCCCCCCCCAGGTTTGGTTATTAAAAATAAAGCCCCCCCCCCTAGTAGCTATAGTATAAATTTATACCCCCCCCCCTTAGATAGTAAAAAGCTCTTCAAACCCCCCCCCCCTTTGGTTTAAGGAGAGAACAAAACCCCCCCCCCTTTTCCCCCTTGCATTTAATGAGGCCCCCCCCCCCATATTCAGCTGTAGATGCAGCCCCCCCCCCCCCTAAATTTTCTTAAACATGTACCTGTGTCTGTAATTTGCTCAGTCATGTTTTCTGTGACCCCCCCCCCCTGCTTCAATTTTGTGATGATTTATCCCCCCCCCCATTACACGGAGAAGAAATTAAGGACCCCCCCCCCATACTGAAGAATTACTTAAATAAGCCCCCCCCCCTTTTTAAACTTCTGTTTTTATCAGGCTAGCTGCATATATGTGCACATTGTGAAACCGTCACCAAGAAGCTCTTGGTGTATAGCCAGAGCTGTCCCCCCCCCCGGTATCCCTTAGGTCATGGGGAGTCAGAAAGGTGCAAGACACAGTCCCTCTCCCTTTGCTTTGGATTAACATTAAATGCTTTTTTAAAAATTCCCCCCCCCCGTGCCTTGGTGGCTCAGTTGGTTACCCCCCCCCCTTCGGCTCAGGTCATGATCCTGGACCCCCCCCCCCGAGTCTCCACATCAGGCTCCCTGCCCCCCCCCCTGTCTGCTTCTCTCTCTGACCCTCCCCCCCCCCCTGCTCTCTCTCTCATTCTCTCTCTCCCCCCCCCCTAAAAAAAAAATCTTAAAAAAAAACCCCCCCCCCTGGGGGCACCTGGATGGTTCGGTCCCCCCCCCCCCGGACTCTTGATTTCATCTCAGGTCCCCCCCCCCGTTCTGGGATTGAGCCCTGCATTGCCCCCCCCCCTCAGCGGTGAGTCTGCTTGACGCTCCCCCCCCCCCTGCCCCTTACCCCCACTCTCTCACCCCCCCCCCTAAATAAATAAATCTTTTTAAAAACCCCCCCCCCTTGCTTCCTTTCTTGCTTGATTAGCCCCCCCCCCCTACAGTGCATACAACATGGGTCCCCCCCCCCCCCCACATGCTTTGATAAGCAAAGGGCCCCCCCCCCCACAGTCCCCATGGTCATATCCAGCCCCCCCCCCTTCTCTGTTTTAGGTTGTGACCTTCCCCCCCCCCGCAATAAACTGGTCTCTGGAGATCCCCCCCCCCCTATAGTGGATGAAAAATCTGGTCAGGTGTCGCTGGAAGATACCAGGTAAGCTCTTTCTCCCCCCCCCCTTTTAAAGAGTTCTTGTTTTTGTTCCCCCCCCCCCTCCACACCCAGTGTGGGGCTCAACCCCCCCCCCCTGAGATCAAGAGTCACATGTTCCTCCAACTGAAACAGCCAGGCGCCCCTCTTTCTGACCCCCCCCCCTTTCTCTTGAAGCCATTGACTATACCCCCCCCCCAAGGGCTTGTTTTCTTTTCTTTTCCCCCCCCCCCTTGTCAGAGAGAGAGAGCATAGCACCCCCCCCCCCAGGCAGAGGGAGAAGCAGGCTCCCTGCTGAGCACGGAGCCCGATGTGGGGCTCGATCCCCCCCCCCCGGGATCATGACCTGAGCCGAAGGCCCCCCCCCCCCCAACTGAGCCACCCAGGCGTCCCCCCCCCCCCCTTTCTATGACAAAGTAGTTCGCTACCCCCCCCCCTTATTAGAAAATATATTTTCTGGTTTCCAGTAACTCCTCAGTGTCTGTGACCCGTCTTGAATGTATTCAAATTAAAGCAAAAATATTCCTGAAGAAAGACTTAACAGGCAGTGATAACCTATTCAACCCCCCCCCCTTTCCTCTAAGTCAAAAAAATCTTCCCCCCCCCCATTGTTATACAACATAAGTAGTACCCCCCCCCCCAAAGCTTTCCCAAATTCCACTCACCCCCCCCCCCTACGTACGTATGTATTTTGTCTTACCCCCCCCCCGCTAGATACATTATGTCTGCTTTTCCCCCCCCCCTTTATGGAGTGCTTATGTGTCTGTCCCCCCCCCCTCATCTTGTGTTTTTCATTATGATCCCCCCCCCCTTAACTGGTCAGCCTCTTTACTGATGGAGATTTATTATTTTGACTTTTTCTTATTATACCCCCCCCCCATTATTCTCTTCCAAAACCCTTTGCCCCCCCCCCTGATTATTTTCTTGGGACAAATTTCCCCCCCCCCATGCTGTGTCAGAATGCCTATTTTCCCCCCCCCCCAAGTGGCAGATGGCCTTCCAGCACCCCCCCCCCAGTATGCCTTTTCAACCAGATGAACCCCCCCCCCTGTAAAGGTCAAGTGCTATGAGATCCCCCCCCCCAGTTGTAGGGATAGAAGACTAGGACCCCCCCCCCTAGGAAGAAATGATGCTCCTTTCCCCCTCTTCTGGTAAGTAGCAGACTAAGTTCTTTACCCCCCCCCCTGATGTAGAATAACGTAGCACTGGCCCCCCCCCCGTCCTCTGGCAGGGCCTGGCTTACCCCCCCCCCCCGTATGACGGTTTTAGCTTCCTGTCCCCCCCCCCACAAAGTACTACAAACTTAGTGGCCCCCCCCCCCACAAAGCTATGATCTTATAGTGCCCCCCCCCCCCAGTCTAACTCAGGTCTCATTGGACCCCCCCCCCCGTGTCGGCAGGGTTGGCTTCTTCTCCCCCCCCCCGGAGAGAATCCATTCCCCACTTTTCCCCCCCCCCAGAGGCCACCGTGTTCCTTGGCTGAGGAGGCTGGAGGGGAGAGGGTGTTCCAGGCAGACCCCCCCCCCGGGGCTGAGGCCCAGAGGCACAAGCCCCCCCCCCGTGCTCAGAGTAAATGGCGAGTGCCCCCCCCCCCAGTAGACTGGAGCAGGAAGGCCCTCCCCCCCCCCCTAGGGAGTGTGGACTTTAGCCTGCCCCCCCCCCGAAGTAATCAAGGAGGTTTAAGCACCCCCCCCCCATCAGACTTTTTTGGTTAGAAAGAGCCTGAGAATGGATTGTGAGGAGAATCCTGGCAGCAGAGACCCTGGCTGTATTGGGGAGCACCACCAGCTTTTGTAAGTGAAGTCTCGCTGGGACACAGCCACCCCCCCCCCATTGGGGTCTGTCTGTGGCTGCTTCCCCCCCCCCGTGGCAGAGCTGAGTACTTGGGACCCCCCCCCCCTGATCATACAGCCTGAATTACTTACCCCCCCCCCCTTTACAGACCCTTAAGTAGCGGGCATCTGCTCAGATGTAAAAATAAGGCCTTTTTACCCCCCCCCCCCTTAGCAGTGAAGCCATAGAGTTAAGCTTGGGTGGTTTGAATGCCTGCAGTTGGGTCGCCCCCCCCCCTTGCTGAGGTTTGTTCTCGTCTTGCCCCCCCCCCCCCATGCCTGTGGTGTGCACTTGGCCCCCCCCCCATTTTGTCAGATGTCTCCCCAGGACCCCCCCCCCAGGAAGTGCTGTTCCACCCTGTCTCCCCCCCCCCAGGCTCCTGTCTGTCCCCTCAGCACCCCCCCCCCCTTCCACCTGTGCTCCCTGATTGACCCCCCCCCCCTCCCAACTGAGGGACCATGCCATCCCCCCCCCCATAGCCTGGCATTTATTTGCTTTTCCCCCCCCCCTCTCTCTCTCTTTTTTTTAAGTAGCCCCCCCCCCCAGTGTGGAGCCCAGTGTGGGGCTCCCCCCCCCCATCAAGACCTGAGCCGAGATAAAACCCCCCCCCCCTTAACCAACTGAGCCGCTACTTGCCCCCCCCCCCTTAAGAGGTGTCAGTGCTGATTTGAGGAATGAGCTGACCTGGTTGAAACTCCTGGGGCCCCCCCCCCATCTGTGGACAGAGCAGAGTGCAACCCCCCCCCCGAAGCTGGAAATCAGAGCTGCTGGCCCCCCCCCCGGGGTCCACCAGGAGGCAGATGGACCCCCCCCCCGCATGGGGAAAAGCAGACATGTTGCCCCCCCCCCTTGCTGGTTTGAGGGGGCACAGGCAAGCTCCTCAGGAGGATTATAGTGTGGCACTTGCCCCCCCCCCCCCTTAAATATTTACATTGTTCTTACCCCCCCCCCATCATTTTCAAAGCAGTAATATTGAATTGTTTTCGTAGTGGTGGTAGAAAAATAAATTTAACTCCCAAGTTATTTGAAGTAGGATAAATTGCCCCCCCCCCCTCTCTACAGCACCAACGGAACAGTAATTAACAAGCTAAAGGTTGTTAAGAAGCAGACTCCCCCCCCCCAGACGGGGGATGTCATCTACTTGGCCCCCCCCCCGAATGAGCCAGAACACAGTAAGAGAGACGGAGTGGACAGAGGGGTGGCTCGTGGTGGGGAGGTCCTGCCACAGCTAGGAAGTGTCGTTGAAAGGAAGTCTGCTGAAGCATCTATTTACCTTAGGAACCCCCCCCCCAGCTACATTCTATTTGTTGTTGATGTAGATTCTTGGTGTGAGTCATGTCTGTTGAAGACCCCCCCCCCTGACCTTGCTGTCTGAGTCCCAGCCCCCCCCCCCAATCCCACCATGGTCATGAGCTGTCCCCCCCCCCAGGGCCAGGAGAAGGGAACAGGGATGGCCTAGGTGACAGCAGAAGAAACCTGAGTTGTCCCCCCCCCCACCTAGAATAGGGGCTGGAGGCCACCCCCCCCCCCGCTTTTGGAGACCGTACAGGAGACCCCCCCCCCCTGACTGGATCCCATTTAGCTTTTCCCCCCCCCCGTATCTGTGTTTGGGAAAAAAGAACGATACAGGACAAGGAGAGTTGAGGGAGTCTTTCCCCCCCCCCCCCCGAACTGGAAAAGGAGGCAAATCCCCCCCCCCTGTCTTCAGCATAGTCAAAGCCAGCCCCCCCCCCGTGGCAGGGTCTTCTGTCTGCTCCCCCCCCCCCCTTGAAACGACGAGCAAAGCACAGACCCCCCCCCCGCTCATCGTTTTGCCTTCCCTAGTCCCCCCCCCCGCTCCAGACATTTTTCCCTGAGGCCCCCCCCCCCTAAAGTTGGTTAAGATATTTTTGGCCCCCCCCCCTGAAATCCCTTAAACGGGTTAATGTCATTACTAGCTGGTAAGTCAACATAGTCAACGACCCCCCCCCCACTGAGGTGACAGGAACAGAAGAGCCCCCCCCCCTCCTGCTGGTGCGTGGGCACTCTGCCCCCCCCCCGCTAATTTCCTTTTAGATGTGGCACCCCCCCCCCAATCTTTAAATGAGAAGCAGGGCACCCCCCCCCCTTCCTTTGGTAAGTGAGACCATAACCCCCCCCCCGCGTAGTAAGGGCTATTGATTCTTACTAGGAAAGCTGCTTCATCTGCTGGAATGTCTTCCCCCCCCCCGTGCTGCTCCACCTGAACCCTGATCCCCCCCCCCCTGCTCCTTCTGTGCTTGCAGAAGCTAATAAAGAGAACGTGTTCCACGTGACCAAAGATACCTCAGGTGCAGGGCGAGGTGACGACCCCCAGCCCCCCCCCCCATTGCCCACCACTCAGGCGTGCTCCCCCCCCCCACAGCCATCGACGTCGACATCGGACCCCCCCCCCACGGCTTCTACCTCTTCCATGGAGCCCCCCCCCCCAGGGCAAGCGCCTTCCTCCAGCTCCCCCCCCCCAGGAGTCTCTGCTTTCTGGTCAGTCCCCCCCCCCTGTGTTGCTACGGAGACAGACAGACCCCCCCCCCAGGAAGTCAGAGGTGTCATCAGGCATCAGGCTCTCAGTAGCAAGATTGCTGTAGTAGTCCCCCCCCCCCTGTTCCATCTGCAATAGAAATGCCCCCCCCCCCAGACCAGAGTACCATGGTATTTCTCCCCCCCCCCTTGGGATATAATTCACATACCATACCCCCCCCCCAGTTGAACTGTACACTTCAGTGGTCCCCCCCCCCGTCATAGTGTTGTGCATTCGTACCCCCCCCCCCCTCCAGAACATTTTCATCACTCCAACCCCCCCCCCCATACCCATCAGCAGTCACTGCCCCCCCCCCCCCAACCCCTAATCTGCTTTCTGTCTCCCCCCCCCCCCCTCTTCTGGCCATTTCATACGAGCCCCCCCCCCTACTCTGTGACCTTTTGTGTCTGCCCCCCCCCCCGAGCATAATGTTTTCAAGGCTCATCCCCCCCCCCATAGAATTTATTTATTTATTTTTTCCCCCCCCCCTTTATTTATTTGAGAGAGAGTAAGAGAGCACACGTGCACATACACACAAGCCAGGGGCAGAGGCAGAGGGAGAAGCAGACTTCCTGCTGAGCCCCCCCCCCCACTTAGGCCTCAGTCCCAGGACTCCCCCCCCCCCACCTGAGCTGAAGGCAGACGCTTCCCCCCCCCCCCCACCCAAGCATCCTGGGAGTAACATATAATTTAAAACCAGTTTTACATGTACTGGTCCCCCCCCCCCCAACTCTTTACCTTCCTCACTGGTCCCCCCCCCCGATTCAGAATCTCTAGGTGCCGTGCCCCCCCCCCGTTTCTTTGTAGGTATTGTTAGGGCCCCCCCCCCATATATATTTAGTGAATTGGATCACCCCCCCCCCGTTAATTTTTTTTAAGATTTTATTCCCCCCCCCCAGCAGGAGAGGGAGAAGCAGACTCCCCCCCCCCCAGGGAGCCGGATGCAGAGCTCGATCCCAGGACCCCAGGATCATGACCTGAGCCGAAGGCAGCCACTTCACTGACTGAGCCACCCAGGAGCCCCTAAATATGTTAATGTTTTAGTTCACTTTCTTAGCTATTCTTCTGTATTTTTCTTCCAGTTTCTCTTTCCCCCCCCCCTTTTAAGTAAGAAAAAAAAAGTCTCCCCCCCCCCTTGATTAGGGAGAATTGACATTTTCCCCCCCCCCAGGTTAATGGTGTTTTACCCTGTTCCCCCCCCCCTTTGATGTTCTTCAGTGAAGTAAGCCCCCCCCCCTTAGTTTTGGGAACTCTCATTTTCCCCCCCCCCCTTCTTCTCTTGTTCTTGTTTTTTTCCCCCCCCCCTTATTTGAAAGAGAGCAAGCAAGTCCCCCCCCCCGAGGGACAGGACAGGGGCAGAGGGAGAAGCAGGCTCCACGCTGAGCGGGGAGCCTGACCCCCCCCCCCATCCCAGGACCCCGAGATCGTGATCCCCCCCCCCAGCAGATGCTTAACCGGCTGAGCCCCCCCCCCCCCCCTCCCTCCTTCATTCTCAAACGCCCCCCCCCCCGGAGACCCTCTTAAATCTCAGTGAGGGTGTGTTTGGCTGTGAACAATGGAAAACATGCCCCCCCCCCCAGAGTGTGAAGACCCAGCCCAGCCCCCCCCCCCCAGCTCAGTGTCACCAGGCACTTTCTGTCCTTCGCATGTGCCTCTTTGTCTTCTTTTAATCTTGTGGTTGCAAGAAGGCTGCCAGAGCTCCACCCCCCCCCCCCACATTCAGGGGCAGGGACCAGCCCCCCCCCCCTAAAAAGAGCTCTATTGTGGGCTCCCCCCCCCCCAGGAATTGTTCCCAGAAGACTCCTCCCCCCCCCCGGCCAACCTGGCTGTACTGCTACACCCCCCCCCCTATTTTTGTATCTGTTTTAGTTGGCCCCCCCCCCGGAGAGGCAGTAAACTTACTGCGGGGACTCAGTATGCTTCCCTGAGACGGGAAGCCTTCCCCCCCCCCCGCTATTTGAACCTATTTCCATTTCCCCCCCCCCGGTTTTTACTTGCTAATACCGTTGCCCCCCCCCCCATAGGCAGCCCCATCTCTCCTATCCCCCCCCCCCATTAAGGCTTTGTACCACCTACCCCCCCCCCCCCCCAGAGCCTCCTTTGCTCAGCCTCCCCCCCCCCCAGCAGCGTGCTCCACACAACACCCCCCCCCCCCTCCCCAGATCTATGGCACCCCATCCCCCCCCCCCCATTCTGATGTGTTATTGTGACTTCCCCCCCCCCCCATGAAAGGGCTTCGTAGGTACTTATTAGGCATGCTTAGTTACATAAAAGGCTAAGGCCCCCCCCCCTGAGCACTTTGTCTAAGTCTCGCCCCCCCCCCCCAAGAGAAGACCAGCAGCATAGACCCCCCCCCCCCCCACAAGAGGCCCTCCAGTCTGTCCCCCCCCCCCCCTGAACTGTAGTCCCAGTTTCTCCCCCCCCCCCGACTTACTCTGTTCTAGCATCATTCCCCCCCCCCCCTGACTAAAAGAAAAGGCGATCACCCCCCCCCCATGAAAACATGCCAGAAAATTACTCCCCCCCCCCCCAGATGGTTGAAATTCTTCAGGTCCCCCCCCCCCATGTGCCATTTATTGTACCACCTCCCCCCCCCCAACCACAGAGGCACTACACAGTTGCCCCCCCCCCTGCCCTGCTGCTGGCTCCACCCACCCGAGGGGCTCACCCTTGTGATGGCAGCCCCAAGCCCCCCCCCCGTGACACTCAGTGACCCTGAGTGCGGCCCCAGAGCGTGTCAAGTAGGAACACAGACAACCCCCCCCCCTGTGGGCATTCTAGATTGAGTGCTAATCTCCCAGCTCTAAGCCTATATAAAAATAGGCCCCCCCCCCCGTCCCAAGCTGTGTGTTTTTGTGGCCCCCCCCCCAGTTTTTCAGAATTGAAGCATAAACCCCCCCCCCCCTATAAAGAAAACTTAACTTTACCAATAGAAATTTTTTCTACATAGTACAGTGTGTAATGTGTGTGGTTAGGTTTTGATAGTTTTTCGATGATGTTCTAATTTCATTAAAGAAACCACAATGAGATATCACCTCACACCTATTAGAATGGCCAGCATCACCCCCCCCCCGGATAGGGGCGCCTGAGTGGCTCACCCCCCCCCCCGTCTGCCTTCGGCTCAGGTCATGCCCCCCCCCCTCTGGGATCGAGTCCCGCATCGGGCCCCCCCCCCCTTGGGAGCCTGCTTCTCCCTCTGCCCCCCCCCCTCTCTCTGTCTGTCATGAATAAATCCCCCCCCCCTTTAAAAAAAAAAAAAAAAAGACACCCCCCCCCCAGTGAGGATGTGGAGAAAGGGGAACCCCCCCCCCCTGTTGGTGGGAATGCAAACTGATCCCCCCCCCCTGGAGAACAGTATGGAGTTTCCTCCCCCCCCCCCAAAGAGAATTGCCATTTGACCCAGCCCCCCCCCCTCTGGGTATATATCCAGAGGAGGTTCTCAAAGAGGTATCGGCACCCCCATGTTTCTGCCCCCCCCCCCACAAAGGCCAAGACATGGAAACAACCCCCCCCCCCAATGATGGGTGAATGGATAAAGACCCCCCCCCCTGTGTGTGTGTGTATACACATACTCCCCCCCCCCGTTAGCGTAAAAGGGCAATGAGTTCCCCCCCCCCGCAATTAAAAAAATCATAAACAGACCCCCCCCCCCTTTAAGCAAATTGTTAAGATGGAAAGCTTAGCTCCAATTGTGTGAAGTTGGGGAAATGTTTCTGTGTATCTAAGTGTATACAGACTAATAACCCCCCCCCCCTGCTAAGTGTGAGGTTGGGTGCCCCCCCCCCCCATAAGTTTTTGGGTTTTTTTCTTTCCCCCCCCCCGTTTTAAGTTAATCCTCACCATGGCCCCCCCCCCGAGGTACCATCATCATGATCTTCATTCTGGAGTGAGAAGCTCCACTGAGCATAGGAGGCCCCCCCCCCGTGGGAGTGAGAACCAGAGCCAGGCCCCCCCCCCTCTTTTCTTCCCTTGGTGTATAAGCCCCCCCCCCCCCCAAACAATTCTAACCTTTTTCCCCCCCCCCCCATCGGGCAGTTTCTTTCTTTTTCCCCCCCCCCCCACTTAACCACTTGAATATTATAGCCCCCCCCCCTATTGTAGTGTAGTATCATAAACCCCCCCCCCCCTTCAGGTAAAGGTTGTTGGAAAGTCTCTCCCGGGCTCATTTAAATTTTGCTTATGCAGCCCCCCCCCCTCCGTATGAGTTACTCCTGCTCCTCCCCCCCCCCACTGTCCCTCTCATCTGTCTGGCCCCCCCCCCCCTGTCTTAGGAAGCCTGTTTCCCTCTTAGAGGCTGGTGTGTGTACCTCTGTGCTAACATCCCCCCCCCCATGGTGAGTGAGTGGCATCACTTACCCCCCCCCCTGGCCCCGTGTTAGACTAAACGTTCCCCCCCCCCTCCCAATCACAGACATGTCTGCATCCCCCCCCCCGTGGATGTGCCACTTAACCAGCTCTACCCGGCACAGCAGTGGGCACAAATGCATTTAAGAAATGTAGTTGAGGAGAGCCTGGGTGGCTCCGACCCCCCCCCCTCTGCCTTCGGCTCAGGTCATGATCCCCCCCCCCCGGGATCGAGTCCCGCATCGGGCTCCCCCCCCCCCGGGGAGTCTGCTTCTCCCTCTGACCCCCCCCCCATGTGCTCGCTCTCTCTCTCTCTCCAAATAAATAAATAAATCTTAAAAAAAAAAAAAGAAAAGAAATGTAGTTGAGGAGAGCCTGGGTGGCTCCGATGGTTAAGCGTCTGCCTTCGGCTCAGGTCATGATCCCAGGGTCCTGGGTTTGAGCCCCGCGTCGGGCTCCCTGCTCAGCGGGAAGCCTGCTTCTCCCTCTCCCACTCCCCCTGCTTGTGTTCCCTCTCTCGCTGTCCCTCTCTGTCAAATAAATAAAATCTTTAAAAAAAAAAACTGTAGTTGAGTATTTCTAGCGAGTATGTGTTATTGAGAATATGGCATCTTGGATTACTTAGACCTGACTTGAATATGTGATGCCCTACCTGTCGTGCTCTCTCCTTCTTGGGCAGATGAGTCAGAACCTCTCTTGTTTGTCCTTCTCACAGGCTCCAGAGATGCAGGCGTTTCCCCGAAAGAGTGTGGTCCGTCTGTGGCAGGTGATGGAATCCCCACCTTTCCTTCGGCTCTCCCACACACAGAGGGAGCATCCTTTTCTTTGTCAGAACCCCGGGATCAGGAGGATTTGGAGCCCATCAGGAAGAGAATGAAAGGAGGTCAGAGTCTTCAGAGAGAAATCTGCACTTAAAAAGACAAAGTTAAAAAGACTGTAAAAAATATTTGGGAATGTGTAGTGGGACGGTGGCTGCCCTGTAGCAGTGAGACCAGGAGGCTCTGGAAGGGAGGGCCTTGGGGAAGGGGACTGGAGTACTGGGTGTGTTGCATGGAAAATTGAATTGACTGGCTTGGGGAGGGTGTGGGAAAACTCAGCAACAGTACATGAAATAATAAATATAAAAATGAGGCCATTTTGGGGTGCCTGAGCCCCTGGGGGGCTCAGTTAAGCATCTGCCTCCAGCTCAGGTCTTGATCCCGGGGTCCTGGGATCGAGTCCCACCCGCTTCTCCTTCTCCGTCTGCTCCTCCCCACCCCCCTGTCTCTCTCTCTCTCTGTCTCAAATAAAATCTTTTAAAAAATAAATAAAAATTAGGCCATTTTTTATTCTAGCAAAAATGAAAAATTGTATAAGGAAGAAAACTTAAGTTGTTTTTTTTTTAAAGATTTTATTTGAGAGAGACAGTGAGAGAGTACAAGTGGGGAGGAGAGGGAGAAGCGGGCTCCCTGCAGAGCAAGAAGCCCGATGCGGGGCTTGATCCCAGGACCCTGGGATCATGACCCGAGCCAAAGGCAGATGCTTAACCGACTAAGTTTCAGGTGCCCTGAAAACTTAAGTTTTCTTAATTAGTAGTATACTATTTGGCTCAGCAGTGAATATTTACCTAAGCATAAGGTAAATACGATATACTGAACCAACAGTCCTGTTATGATAATACTGTGAGTAGGGTTCAGGGGGTAGAATCCTTCTCTACCTTAATAGATGTCAGGAGATGGTGTCTAGAATCGATGAACCCAAACATAGCATTTCAGTTCAGAAACATGGAGGTCCATACCAGCAGAAGTAGCTAAAATCACAAAAGTCATTAACTCGGAGGAAGTTAGGCCATGGCAGAGGGCTACTGCTTTTGTTTTCTTTTAAATGTTTGACTTCGTAAATTGTGTGCAAATAGTTCTTTAATTAAAAATAAAAATTAATCTGTGGTTAGCAACACATGAGCACTATAGAACACCAGCAGAAGAAAAGAAAAAAACATTCACAGCTCCTGGTAACATCAGAGAGTGTACTTTCCAGTGTATACACAAGTCGCGTTTTTTGTTTAAACAAAAATGACATTACACACAAATACTGTGCGACAAATGGCCTTTATCTTTAAGCATGTAACCGGAGCGCCTCTTTTTATGTCATTAACTGTTCTTCTAAAACAAGACTTAAGTGTACTGGAATATGAAACCTCTTTTAGGCCTTCTTAAAAACGCCCTTTAAAATATAAACACTGGCGAGAGCTGTGTCTTCTGTCCGTAGGTTAAGGTGTTCATAAAACAAGAAGACCCATTATCTGCTTCTTCCTCCCTTGGTTGTGGTGGTCAGAACGCATCCGTTTCTCTCACAGATGGGGAGCCTGACCTGACCCTGCAGTTGTTGGTTGCAGACCAGTGTAGCGACACCCACACCACCCTTGGGAATGTCAGATCCGAGAACGTGAAACCAGACAAGATGGAGGAGACACTCACGTGCATCATCTGCCAGGACCTGCTGCATGACTGTGTGAGGTATGCATGCTACACGCCACAGGGAGACCTGCAGGAGCATCACAGCTGGGGAGGGGCGGCCACGGGGAAGCAAGCCTCTGGGTCATGTCGGGTTCGACGCTGTGGAGGCTACTGTTGTCATTTTCTTGTGTGGCCAGCCCGCCCAAACCCCTGTGCCTGTAACCAAGGCTATAGAAGAGCCCACAAGGCTGATGTGGCAATGGCCTCAGTCAACACAGGTCCCATGTAACCCCAGTGGCCTGGCGCTCCGCAGACGCAGAACAGGAGAACTGCACCGAGCTTTAAGGGAATGTCATAGTTAACACAGAGGGAATGCCCCAGAATGAGGATCCCAGGAGTAGTTTAGGGAGAGCCCCCTCCTTGCTTCTCTGTGGGAACTTAAAAGAGTGAAAGCCATCTGAATTTCCACTTGAATGCAGGCCTTTTCCACACTCAGTGTCCCTGTTCCTCATATTCCTGGAGTCACAACCTGCTCTGCTGTCCCTTCTGGAGCACAGATTGTCACTTCGGTTTCTTTTCATTAACGAGGACCAAGTTAAAGTAGTTGAGGTTGAACACTGTTCTCACACGGGAACCGGTTCTCACGTGGGTTGTGGAAGACAGGTGGCATTCCCAGTCTCTTAGGTGAGGATGCAGATGCCGCCAGCAGCGGGCCCCATATGCAGGTGGGTGTAGCACCCCGAGAAGCATGGGTTCTAGGCTCTGCTGAGTCAAGTGAGCTCGGTGGGGGGGTGGGTAATTTGCTCACTTTTCTGTTTTGTAACCAACCTTCAGCCTGAGCAGGGCCACATCCTTCTATGGGGAAAGAGGCAGCATGAACTGGGGTCCCTGCTTCTCATGCTCCAGGCAGGCCATGCCCCATGTGCCCTGGCGTCTGGGGGGCTGCTGCGGCTTGGCAGACAGATGCTCCACCAGCGAGTGCTCTGCGGGGGCGTCTGAAGACCTGTCCTTGTGCTCTCAGCCTGCAGCCCTGCATGCACACCTTCTGTGCAGCCTGCTACTCAGGCTGGATGGAGCGCTCCACCTTGTGCCCCACCTGCCGCTGTCCGGTCGAGAGGATCTGTAAAAACCACATCCTGAACAACCTGGTGGAGGCCTATCTTCTCCAGCACCCAGGCAAGTGGGGAGCCTGCCCAGCTCCTGGAGACTGGGGTGTCTCTCCAGGGGCCCCTCAGCCAGGAGAGCCATGTCTTTTGCCTTCCAGACAAGAGTCGCAGCGAGGAAGATGTGCGGAGCATGGCTGCCAGGAATAAGATCACTCAAGACATGCTGCAGCCCAAAGTTAGGAGGTCTTTCTCTGACGAGGAGGGCAGTTCAGAGGACCTGCTGGAGCTGTCAGATGTGGACAGCGAGTCCTCGGACGTTAGGTGAGCCTCCGCCTGGCTCTGAGTAGGGCAGGGAGCTCGGCAGGCAGCACGGAGTCCGAGTCCAGGTTCTGCACTGAGCAGACCAGCTCCTGCGTCGTCTGGCCTCACTTCTCATGGGTGACATCAACTAGTGATGTTGCCTGCCTTGAGTGTGGCAAGGCTGGGGTGGGCGCTGGCCAAGGACAGCCACTCACTCAGCTGACTGGGGTGGGTATTTGCCACCCTGCCTGCTCCAGTACCCCCCTCCCTTTTCAGGTATACACGAAACATCTATTTTTTGCTGTTATTTATCTGTATTTATTTCCGGCTTTATTGAGATGTAATTGGCGCACAGCACCCTTTGAGTTTAAGGTATTCTGGCTAATGAATGGCTTGACTGGCATCTGTTCTAAAGTGAAGACCACCACGCCCCACACTCTGGTATTTGCTGACACCTTGTCAGGTGCCTTGATGCACCGGCTACAACGGCATCACGATTTAACATGTTCTTTGTGCCACATACGCACACTTACGCTGTAGCGCATCTGGTGAGCGTCGAGTCCTACCCTGTGAGTTGCATTATCATCGTTTGTCAGGACAGTACCGTAGGGAAGCCTCGGCCACCTGGCTGAGAGGACGCAGTCCTGCGAGACCTTATATTGGCTACTCTACAGTGCCACTGTTTCCTGACTCAGAAGTGCACCGGCTGAGTTTCAGATGGAGGCCATCACATTTAGAAAGACAAAAATCAAACCTCCCAAATGTACTATCTTTTGTTTCTTTTTGTAAAATTTAGCAAATGATGGCCAAGCCAAAAGAAGAAAACAAAAATCACTTTAGCGTGAACATTTTATTGTGTATCCTTCTGGCCACTCATATATGTAGTGACATATACTTCTTTCGTTAAGTAAGTAAAACGCGATATGCTTAGAAATAAATACTCTTATAAAGATGGGATTGTACTGTACATATGGTTTTATAGAATTTCTAGTATTCTGACTTGAGAAGCCGTGGTGAAGTTTTAGTTAGAGTTTGAGTTACTGTAACTGCAGTTACAGTTTTGTGCATATGTCCATTAATTGACGGAGGTAAGTAACGGCAGAGTGGTCAGGTCAGAGAGCCTGCGGCGGGGTGCCTGGCTGGACCTGGCACCCGTGTCATCCAGTGTCCGTTAGAAAGGTTTGTGGAAGGGTGTCAGGAAACCTTGCCTGCACTCGGTGTCGCCCGGGATGAAGGTCATCTCGTTCCTAAATGAAGTTGAGTATTTTCTCACTGTGTTTTTCTAGTTAGGTCTTACCCCGTCCTTCACTGGCTCCTGCTGTTGGAGGCAGGCTCAGGAAGGCATCCTCTGACTGAGATAAGGGCAGAGTCTGTGTCTCTCTTTCCTGTGGATTCTTTTTACTGTCTGTGTTTTTAGAAAGCTCAGCTGAAGTGCATAAAGCTAGGTGGGGCAGGGCTTCTGCTGCCGGGTCGGGAAGCCCCTAGAGGACAGCAGCGTTCAACTGTGGCACAAAAGGTGCTCTGATTTGAATGCAGTTTCTTCGGTGCCCAGGGTACAAGTCCTGAGTGTGCTGGGCAAGCTGGGTCTGCCTCTGGATGTAGTTCACAGCTTGCCCAGCCTCGAACCTGTGAGAGTGCGTCCTGCCCCGTGTGGGGACTGAGCGGCCAGGCTCTGGGGGATGCTATGCCAAAGCAAGGGGTGGGCAGGATGTGTCTCCGTATGCTAGGAACTGCCAAGGGGGATGAGGGTGGTGAGGAACAGAGCCCTCTAACTGCTGCTCTTCTGGGGTGAGCACTGACTGGGCGGCAGCAGCTGGTGCAGAGTTGAGGTGTGAAGTGGGGGACAGTGAGCAGAGAAGACGCCTTCAGGCTTGGGATCTGGATCTGGTCTTGTCATCAGAGCTAGGGGCATGGCCACCACCGCCCACATGCTTGTGAGCAGGGGTCACCCTGCTTCTCCACACTCCAGGTGTTCGTGTGGTTCGTGTGCTTTCCTTGCAGCCAGCCGTACATAGTATGCAGACAGTGCCCCGAGTACCGGAGGCAGGCGGGGCAGTCCCTCCCCTGCCCAGGGCCTGGCAGCGAGCCAGGGTCAGCACCGGCTCCTGGGGATACACCGTCCACATCCACCAGTGTCACGACAGGTGAGACGCCCCCTTCCGTGCTGTCGTCCTACTGTGACCACCCAGGATGCAGCTGTCATTCCTGTGGACTCCTCGCCCATTCCTGCCCAGCTCCTGTCCCTGCCTCCATGGTCTGCCACCTCTCGTAACCTGTTGCTTCTCCTAGTCTGTTTTGGGCTAAGAAACCAGAGAGTGAACTTGTTCTCTCGTGGACCTCTGCTCCTGGACAGTCCTGGGGTTTCAGTCCTAAGCCTGACATTTGGGCCAGATGCCATCAAGAAAGGGAAAGAGGACAGGTGGAATCTACGTTTTTGGCCCTGGCCATTCTGTAGTTAATGGCCCCGCAAGGCCTAGGTTCTTAGAACCTGTCACGAGGCCAGTAACCCAGGATTGTGACCCAGAGCCGTGTTACAGCCATCTGCCATGACGCCATGCCGTGGCTGTCTCCGTCGGTTCCTGTAGGCCCTGTGGACAGGGATGGCCAGCACCTGGTCACTTCCCAACTTTGCCATTCCTCAGGTGGGCTCCATCGTTTTCAGACTGCGAATGGAAGTCCCCGGTGGGACGGGGCCTGTAGTAAGTGTGTGTGCACAGACGGAGCCTCCTATGTGGCCATGGAGTGCCCGGGGGCTGGGCTATGTGGACACAACTCCTGAGGTGGGGCCAGCCAGTCATGCCCACCAGGTCTGTCACTTGTTTATTTGGAAGACAGATTAATTTAGAACTTGCTTTATTGTTTCATGGCGTGTGCTTTATGGCCTAAGGAAATGTTAGAAAACCTTCAAGTGATCTTTGAAATCTTGCTACAACCACTGAACCAAAAAGTTGCTTTGCTTATTTTTCATTTTATTTTAAAGTGCTTCTTTTAGATGGTAGGCTATCATTTGGCCACTTAAGAAAACAGGTCTGAGTTCTCCCTGGGTTTTCTCGTGTGCTTTCCAGCCACTCCCCTAGATGTGGGTCTAACCTGTTCTTTCTGCCTGTGTCCCGGTACGTGCTGCCTGAATATGCTGTCTGTTCTGCAGCCCAGGATTATGTGTGTGCCCTGCAAGGCAGCCATGCCATATGCACCTGCTGCTTCGAGCCCATGCCAGACCGGAGAGCAGAACGTGAGCAGGACCCCCGCATCGCCCCCCAGCAGTGTGAGTAAGGGTGTGCACCTACGCTGCCTGCCTGAGCAACCTCCCCACCACGGAGCCTCTCCTGTGGATCCTTCTAGGCTCAGGTTTCAAAACGGTGTTGACTGCTGTGCATGGTGTGAAGTAAAGACATGGCTGTGTTTTCTCATCTGCAGAATCGGTTGTCTCTGTGCAATCGTGTTGAATAACCGTCTTTTTCCATCAATTGATAACCCACCCCTGTCATACACCAAGTTTCCATGTATGGGTGGTTCTCTTTCTGAAGTCTGCATCTGACATTTGTCCCCACATCAGGACCATGATATTTCTGTAATGTGTCACTTAAGATTTTTATTTTATTTATTTATTTTAAAGATTTTTATTTTTTATTTGACAGAGAGACAGCCAGAGAGGGGACACAAGCAGGGGGAGCGGGAGAGGGAGAAGCAGGCCTCCTGCTCAGCAGGGAGTCCGATTTGGGCCTTGATCTCCGGGGCCCTGGTATCATGACCTGAGCCAAAGGCAGACGCTTAACGACTGAGTCACCCAGGCACCCCTTATTTATTTATTTATTTATTTTTAAGATTTTATTTATTTGTCAGAGTGCGCATGTGCGCACACAAGCAGGGGGAGCAACAGAGGGAGAAGCAGTGAGCAAGGAGCCCGATGTAGGTCTCCATCCCAGGACCCTGGGATCATGACCTAAGCCGAAGGCAGGTGCTCAACCAACTGAGCCACCCAGGCGTCCCTTTTATTTATTTTAAAGAGCGTGCGTGCATGTGGGGGGTGGGGGAGGCAGAGGAGGGGCAGAGAGAGAATCTCAGGCAGACTCCCTGCTGAGCAGGGGGCCCAGCGCAGGGTCCAGTCTCATGATCCTGAGATCATGACCTGAGCCAAAATCAAGAGTTGGACCCCCAACCGACTGAGCCACCCAGGTGCCCCTCTCATGTGTCATTTTTAAATGTAATAAAGGAAATACAGTGCTTTAATTTACAACTTTGGGATTGTTGTTTAAAATTGAGTTTGTCATGTGTTTAACGGTTATTTGAGTTTGTTCTTCACTGAGATGGCCTGACTAGCGGTTGTGCTGTGTCCGCAGGTGCCGTTTGCCTGCAGCCTTTCTGCCACCTGTACTGGGGCTGTGCCCGGCCCGGCTGCCTCGGCTGTCTGGCCCCATTCTGTGGTAATGCCGGTGCTTCAGCTGGCTGGCTTTAGCCTTTGCGTATTCTCTCGGCGCATTTGAGGGTGGTGACGGGGTAGTGTGGCCCGAGTTGGGGGAGGCCACCGTTAGTGACTCTACTTTTTCCTGACATACTGCCTATGTTTGACATTTAGAAGTGTCACTCTGTGCTAGCCCAAAACCAGGCAATAACAGAACAACCACAGGGATGCTGAGTTCAGTCAGGAGGGTTTCCTTATGGGCAAGGAACACCACCACTAAAAACGCCCAGTCTGGCCGTGGTGTTGAGTCTTCACAGCGCCAGACCAGGTGCTGAGGAGACTGAGAGAGCTGTCCATTTCAGGAAGGAGTGGAATGGAAGTCATTTTGCCTGTTCTCTTTTTAAAACTGTATTTTTTTTTAAAGGTTTTATTTATTTGACAGAGCGAGAGAGGGAACACAAGCAGGGGGAGTGGGAGAGGGAGAAGCAGGTTTCCTGCCGAGCAGGGAGCCTGATGTGGGGCTCGATCCCCGGACCCTGGGATCATGACCTGAGCCGAAGGCAGACGCTTAACGACTGAGCCACCCAGGCGTCCCTAAAACTGTATTTTGTCATGGAACTTTTTATTCTTTCTAGACCCTATAAGAAAGGAAATTTGGTTATCTTAGTGTCAGTGAATGATGCTTTCATAGAATATCTGTAAGACGGGTGACTTTGCTTCCTTCCATTTGGCAGAGCTAGACCTGGGCGACAGGTGTCTGGACGGGGTTCTGAGCAATAACCACTACGAGTCGGATGTCCTCAAGGTAACAGACTTCCCATACAGGCGTGGGTGGGGCTCAGGCCAAGAGAGGCCCCCGTAAGGTTTTCAGCTCTCCTAATGGCTCTTAGTAGTATTGCCACTGAGTGTACCACATGGGTGTTTTTCTGTGTTCCCCACATTCCCGAAAGGAGGTATTTTCCTTCATGCCCATTATGCCACAAATCCACAGGAATTGGCTCCAGTGCCTGTTTGTCCCTTGCAGAGAGTTTCTGGGTCTGGGTGGGGAGTGGGCCAGCCCTTTAGTGGAACCAGGGCCTCTCTCCGACTTCCTCCTCTCTGACATTTTCCTTCCTATGTTTTAGGAAGCTGGCCCGACTCCTCGGCACCACTGCATTCTGGTTAGATGTCTACGTGGTGCTTTCTTGTAGGTTCGCACAGAAGGAGCCAAGCAGCTCTGTGTGTCTGAAGGGCAGAATGTAGATCCAAACCCTCCACACTTCCTTATGTGGTCATGGGCCTGTTGCTGCCCTGGAGCTGCTCTGGCCAAGGTTGGGTGTCCCACCACTCCTGTGCTAGGAATGTCTTTGCAGAATTTTAGAGAGCGTGGTAACTCACATATTCAGAGTTCTGAAGTTAGCCCTCCTTTTGAGGCTCTGAGAGAGCATCTCAGACAAGAACCCTTGTGAACTAGGTGGTGAGCTAAGTGTTACCGTGTCAGGCTCGGGCAGCCTGGTCCTCGGGCTGTCCCAGGTGTCCTGTGGTCTTGGAAGCAGACCCCCACAACCGCACACAGCACTCCCCCTCAGCTGCCTGATACAAATCCCTGCCATGTTTAGCTTGCCTGGGCTAAACTGGGCTGTGGCTTTACCCACCTTCAGGGGCCTTTTATGAAACTTCTGCCTTATTGTCATTTTAGTATTTCTTCTTCCAAGCTAGTATCTAAGATTTCCCTTCTTCCCCGTCACAGAATTACCTGGCAACCAGGGGTTTGACGTGGAAAAATATGTTGACTGAAAGTCTGGTGGCTCTGCAGAGGGGAGCGTTTTTACTGTCTGGTAAGCATCGTTGCACTTGCTTCCCTCTCTGCAGAGAGGGTGCCTCTGCCTCCTGTAACACAGTAGAACCTGCGCTGCCTTCCCACATGCACAGCCTCGCCCTCCGCCCAGCCTGACAGAGGCAGACAGGAAGGTGCTAATACTTTCGGTTTTCTTTATTTAAAGTTCGGTTTGAGCCCACATGACCTATTCCAGGGTTTCTCTGCCATGGGGAAGGGCGGGCCCCAGCTGAAGAGACTGGGGCTCCACCTTTGTCAGCATGGAAGTCCCGGGGCTGGCTGGTTGTTAGCAAACTCTCAGGGCCCTCATTGGCCTCTCGCTTGGTGTGTTGATGATGGGGTGTAGGCTTGCCCTGTCTCCCAGGGACACCCAGGACATTGTGAAATGTGATTTTTGTCACTGAGGGAGGGGGCTACCAAAAAATCAAATGGCTTTTTTTTTTAGATTTAGATTTAGATTTTTTTTTTTAAGATTTTACTTATTTATGGAGTGCCTGGGTGGCGCAGTTGGTTGAGCGACTGCCTTTGGCTCAGGTCATGATCCCGGAATCCCAGGATCGAGTCCTGCATCTGGCTCCCTGCTCAGCGGGGAGTCTGCTTCTCCCTCTGACCCTCCCCCCTCTCGTGCTTTCTCACTCTCTGTCTCTCAAATAAATAAAATCTTTATTTATTTGAGAGAGAGGGCGTATGTGTGCAGGGAGGAGTAAAGACGGACGGAGAGGGAGGAAGGGAAAGAATTCCAAGCGGACTCCCCACTGAGCGTGGAGCCCAACGCGGGGCTTGATCCCACAGCCCTGAGATCATGACTTGAGACCTGAGCAGAAACCAAGAGTCGGACCCTCAACCGATTGAGCCACCCAGGAGCCCCAAATGACTTTTCTTTCTGAGACATACATTATCATGAAAGACTTTAGAAGTTGTTGGGGCTCCTTCTAAGCAGTTTCTGTCTTGTGGACACATTCTCACAAGTGTCTCAGGTCTTCTCTGCAGCAGCCCTGGGGTTGCCCAGACCTGTCATCTGAGCCTGAGCTCCGTTAGCTTCTTAAGGACTACTCTAAGGATGACATGGCTCACAAAGACATGAGGCACGAAGGATAAGTGAACATCAGTGGGAATCCCAGCACTTGAGCACGCAGTGACGATCCTTGCATGGCCTGTGCGCCTGCCCACATGGGCACAGCATCCTCATAAATGAAGCCCTACCACCTGCGCTGTTCTGTAGCCTGTTTGCTCAGCAGTATACCTTGATTTTTATTACGTAGTGTTCTAATACCATGGTTTATTTCGCCGATTCATGAGTAGAGGATATTAAGGGATTTTTTTTCTCCTTTTCACTCTGAGTCAACACTGTAGCTGCTGAGTGAGCATGCAGTGTGTTAGGCTTGAGAAATTGTTCCATTTGGATAAATAAGTAGGGTTGTTGGATAGCGCTCAGCACAGTTGGGACTTTGCCATAGTGACTTTCCTGCTCAAGGACATGCCTCAGGTGTGAAGGCCAGCATCTTCTTGAGCCTGGTTGCCCTGCAGTCTTGTAAATACAGAACAGGCAAACTGGACGTATTGTCGTTTGTCTGCCTGTGTTGGAACATTAACAGAATTGAAGATCTTTTTCTTTCATGGTTCACTGGCTTGTTGTGACCTTGGCCCATATTAGGCTGTCTGGATTTGGGGGTCTGGGTTGGTAGGAAATCTTTGTCATATAAAGGTGCAACAGGTTATCGTTTGTGTTGCGCATGGTTTTCAACTAACTGATTAGTATTTTACCTTTGGTGTATGTGTTTCCATTGTGCTGTTTAAGCTGTAGGTAGTCAGATTTACAAGTCCTTTCCTGTGTGCTGTTTGGTTTTTGTGACATACTTAGAATACTATTCATTCCTTTCGGTACTTTTTAAAATTTTTAAGATATTTGAAATTTTTTTATCCAAGTAGATTTATTTTGTTGTGAGGAAATAGGTTGGTTTCGTTCTCGTTTTCTGAATGTCTGGCCCCTGTCTCTGCCCCCTGTGTGGATCAGTGCCGGGTTTCCCACTCCTTTGCAAGGCCACAGCTGTTCTGCCATTCTGGAAACATGAGGCTGCGTGCTGACTGGCATGCCCACATGAGGCTGCGTTCCTTGCAGATTACAGAATCACGGGGAACACCGTGCTGTGTTACTGCTGTGGCCTGCGGAGCTTCCGAGAGCTGACCTACCAATATCGGCAGAACATCCCTGCTTCCGAGTTGCCAGGTAAGGAAGCCCCCTCACCCCCAAGGCAATTCTGCCTAGATTGGCTTCTGTGTTCCTTCATGTAATAGGTACTCTGTTTGGGCCTTTGCTCCATGTTCTTAGTGGATGTCTGCCTCAGCAGGGACAAAACTGGGCATTAGTCTTACTTCCTAAACTGGGTTTTCAATTAAACTTTTTTCCTTTCCTGAAATCTTGGAACAGGCCAAGGACACTAGTTATAAAGCATGACAAAATGCGATGCCTTTCTCCTGCTGTTTGTCCCCTTGGGTCTTTACTTAAATTCACGTAGCTGAGCTTGTGAGTGTGATGTGCATTACAAATACATCATTTTTTCTCTTCCTAGTGGCTGTAACATCCCGTCCTGATTGCTATTGGGGCCGCAACTGCCGCACTCAGGTGAAGGCCCACCACGCAATGTGAGTGAGACACGCTCTGCTAGGCCGGGGGCACGAGTGTCGGCACAGGTCCTCAGGGCTGGGAAAGGGGCGCCAAAATGGTCCTCCTGCAGAAAGGCACACCCCCGTTTTCCTAACAGGAAGGTGATTTTTTTCTTTTAAGTGTTTTGGCAAGTTGATACCTCAGCTTTTAGGAATGTTTATGAACTAGTTAATTATTTACTTGTAAATATACTAGTTTCGTCATTTTGTTTGTCTAAAGTCACGTGGTGTATAAAGTAGTGCTGTCGTTTCTGTGTTCTGCAGAACGCAGCTGCCATTCCCTGCTGATACACCGGAGGGTTAGCACTTTCTTAATTGGTGGCTGTGGTCACTGAGAACTTCTGAGCCCCCAGCTCAGAAGTCCTGGTGCCTTGGGTCTCTCTCCATGCCTTGAGCAGGTATATGTGATGGCTCTAACTCAGTGACTCTCACTGGGCATTTCCAGCTCACAGTGACATCTGCATTGCCATGTGGGGTCGTCTCTAGGTGTAGGTGAGGTGATGATGTAAATCAGTCACGGACTGATGCTGTTTGAGGCTACTATGATCCCCAGTCATTCGTGGTTCAAATCAGAGTCACTGAGAGTGTGTCCTTAGTGCCGGTGACAAGGACCCAAGTAAAGGCTCCCTCAAAGACTGATTCTGTGGAATAAAACCTTGTTTTGTAGTTGAGCGTAGACAGTGTAAAGGAGACCATTTCATTATAGGGAAAGAAATTTTACTAGTAACTTGCTAATCTTTCTTAATAAAAACATGGATAAGGGTAGCAAAGACATACCTGTCTTCCTCTGGGGATGCCCTGCTCTTCACAAAGGGAGGTGGTGGTGCTGTCGCCCAGCAGGCAAGTCTGTCCGTCCCGCGGGGTGGCCCGAGGAGGCTTTGAGTCTTTGAGTCTTTTCTCTAGGAAAATGACCTAAAAATGTCTGACTTTTTAAAACTTAAAAAGGAAAAAGAAGGCTGCCGTAGGGATTAATTTCTTTGTTGGTACTAAAAATGTGCTTCTGTGAGCCACCCCATATGCAGTCAGCTTTTCATCAAATACTTCCAGCGGGTGACTTCAGGATCCGCTTATGTGAATACTTGTGTAATCTCACTCTTTTCTCCCTGCAGGAAATTCAATCATATCTGTGAACAGACAAGGTTCAAGAACTAAGCATCTAGGAGGCACCAGGTGGCTTGGGGGTATTGGAGGTCAATGACAACGTTTCAGAAAATACTGGATACAGACATTTTAAGGGCATTTTACAGTCCTCCAGGGGATGCTGGAGGTTTCCGCGTCGGGCACTGTAGTGTGACTTCTCTTGTGGAGTGAGACCTTCTTAGCAAGATGCCCCCGCCCCCACCCCCGCCCCAGTGGCCTGGGAGGCCGGGGCGGCACGACCCACCCCTCCTCTGAGCTCGGGCCGCCCAGAGCACTTCCGCCAGAAGAACTGCCCTCAGCCGTCCCCTCCCATTGAGGCGATGACGTTCAGGTTTGCTCTTTATACCTTTCCCAAAACTATGGTTCAAACAGACCTCTCTCTTCAAGGAAGCTTCCATGGGAGAAAAAGGAAAGTCTGTTGTTTAAGGGAAAGGGATCAAAAGTTTACAGCCTGCAGGGCATACCCGAGCGCCCCCGCTGCGGGGACAGCCACGGCGGCTTAGGCTTTTTTGTAATAGGTTTGGTGCTTATCTTCTAGTGAGATTTATCACAAATGGTAGCACAAGTAATATAATTTATAATTTACAAATTGACTAAAATTGGGATAGTAGGGCATTTGAAAGAATAAACATATGTTTCTGTTTATTAGAAAAAGAAAAAATCAAATGTCCAGAACTGCTAACCCTAGACACCCAGCGTCAAGTGCGTGGCCCTGTCCTAAGAGGGCAGAAGTTGGGGTGCCACACCCTAGGCCTGCTGTGGAGCAAAGCCTTGGTGCATGCTTCTCGCTCTGTCAGCTCAGCTGCAGGCCCCGCCGAGCTGCCCCACGATCTTCATTTCTTCCTGCTGGGCAGGGTCAGCCCTGGTGGTGCCCCCGCCCACCTGGAGCAACCCTTCCTCGAAAGTACGAGAACCCTTTGCTCCCACTAGGCCTGTCCTGCGTTGGGTTTGCCATGTCATCTGGAATAATACTTGAAATTTTTTTCGTTAAAAAAAAAGTTTTTTATCTTTTGTTGAAATCATATGTTATTTTTGTTTGCAAAATTGTAACTTTTTGCTTCTTCTCAGGAATAGGATTTTCAACTGTTGTCTTGCTCTTGATACAGACTCTGAGAAGCAGCGCTCTGTTTGTGGAAGAGGCCGCCTCCTCCCTGCATTCTAATAAACAAGCTGTGTCTGTTTCTCTCCCCTCCACATTGGTTTGCGTGTCGGCTGCGATGTGCTGCCCCTTCTGTCACGGTGGGCAGGCTACCGGCGCTGCTAGTGACTGGCTACTGCTCCTGAGAGCCCAGCTGGTAGCCCCGCTCTCGGACGAGCCACATGTGACGCGGGCTTGGGGCCCAGGCGAAAAGGGGAAAAGACCCAGGATCTCGTGGATCCATCAACCCCAAGTGACGGCCTTTTGGTTGCATGTTGAAGCTGTGACTTTGTGTCTAAGCCCTGGGCTCAGCCTGTGCAGGAGAGAGGCCTGCTCTCCACATCTTAGGGTCTTGCCTCATCACTCCCTTCCCTCCCAAAAAAGTAAAAACAAAGGTGTGGCTCTTAAGGGCTATGCCAGCTTTTTAAGCCTAGGTTAAAACAGAACATGTGACTTCCCTTGGGCTGCACTGGAAGGACACATGTCATGTTAGACTGCGGGGTCCACGGTGCAGGGCCAACTCTGCTGGGACTTGGGCTCCCTGCTTCTGACGAGGACTTTCTGCTCTCACTCATGGGAGGAGCTTGGGGGCAGGACAATTATTTTCTGGGCTGTTTCATAGACCTGGGTGGGTGTGCACTCGGGAGGTTTTTATGACTTCCTGTTCCTCAACACCCTCCCACCCCACCTGACAGCCAGTCTACGGTTGGGCTGGAGCTGTGTGTGTGTGTGTGTGTGTGTGTGTGGTGTGTGTGGCGGCGGCGGCGGTGCAGGAGCCGTGTGCGTGCGTGTGTGTGTGTGTGTGTGTGTTGGCGGCGGTGCAGGATGCCTGGGCGTGAGTGTGGCCAGCTCAAGACTCCCGTGTGCGAGTGCTTGTGTGCAGGTCGGTTGGGCTGGAGCTGTGTGTGTGGTGTGTGTGGCGGTGGCGGCGGTGCAGGAGCCGTGTGTGTGTGTGTGTGTGTGTGTGTGTGTTGGCGGCGGCGGTGCAGGAGCCGTGTGCGTGCGTGCGTGTGTGTGTGTGTGTGGCGGCGGCGGCGGTGCAGGAGCCGTGTGTGTGTGTGTGTGTGTGTGTGTGTGTGTGTGTGTGTGTTGGCGGCGGTGCAGGATGCCTGGGCGTGAGTGTGGCCAGCTCGAGACTCCCGTGTGCGAGTGCTTGTGTGCAGGTCGGTTGGGCTGGAGCTGTGTGTGTGTGTGTGTGTGTGGTGTGTGTGGCGGCGGCGGCGGTGCAGGAGCCGTGTGCGTGCGTGTGTGTGTGTGTGTGTGGGGGGCGGCGGCGGCGGTGCATGTGTGTGTGTGTGTGTGTGTGGTGTGTGTGGCGGCGGCGGCGGTGCAGGAGCCGTGTGCGTGCGTGTGTGTGGTGTGTGTGTGTTGGCGGCGGTGCAGGATGCCTGGGCGTGAGTGTGGCCAGCTCGAGACTCCCGTGTGCGAGTGCTTGTGTGCAGGTGCTTGGGCCCAGCTGGATATCTGCGGCCTGCTGCCTGCCCTCTCCTCCCGCAGCCTCGCCCATCCCATCCCCGACCCATGTCCCTCTTGGTCTCGTGCCCGCCTCAGAAGAGGGGCCAACCCTGGCCACACCCCCATCTGCAGCGCACCTTCCTGGCCTGCGGGTCCGAGCTGTGAGGGGAGCCGTGGACCTGTGGAGGATCCTTATTGGGTGCAGCCAGAATCCAGCAATTCGTCTTGGACCCCGCAGAGCTGACAGGGTCAGAGTCACAGGCCCAGATGTGAGAGCAGCAGAGTGGCGCCACAGGGAAGCAACCAAACTGGGAGAGGAGGTGGAGAGGGTCGTCATGCAGCCTGCAGAGAGGAGGCCCAGAGAAGCCCATCTCTGAATCAGAATGGCTGTGGTGGACGCCCGCAGCCCGAAGCCAACCTCCAGGCTGGAGGGAGGAAATGAACAGGGGACTGATTGGATTCAGAAAGCCCAGTGTAGATCTGGCTTCAGGAGTGGCTGGATGCAGGAAACAACACCATGCTGGAACCCTTGTCTCCCTGTGTTTATGGCCACCGCTTCCCAGATCTCAGCTTCCATCAAGCAGAAGCAGGTGAACTTACCCACTGCTTCAAATGGAAATTCATCCCTGACCTAATCACTAGTAGGCCAGACCAGGGGCTCCCGCCTCCACCTGGGCCATCAGCACTCCACAGGCAGGTGGGGTTCCCTCAGGCAAGAGGAAGAGGAGTGTCCCAGATTGTCAGCCCGAAAGCAGACCGGCTGCTGGGCAGCGGCTCTGGGGCTTAAACCCAGCAGGCCACTCAGCCTGCTAGACCTCAGCCTGCTGAGGCCTGACCCTAATGGGGACTATACTGGCAGCGGCCTGGAGGGAGCGCCAGGCGGGTCTCAGTTACTCCCCTTGGAGATGCCAGCCTGTGTGGGGTGGGACATGGAGGAGCCCAGACACACTTGAGGGGAGATTCACAGCTCCCTGCAGAATAAATTCCAAGGACCTTGATGCTCATGGAGTGCAGCCCAGTCAGACCTCGCTCTGTGTCGTCTCTCAGGACATCGGCAAAAGTGAATGCAACGGAGTGAAGCCATGTGCATTCTTTCCTGCTTTCAGCCAGTGTCTCAGCTATTCGGAGGGGCCTGAGGGAGACCCCGTTCTGAAGATTGGCCCGCTGAAGGTGGCCAGCCCCACCATGAGCCCTGTGACTGCAGAAGGGCTGCCTTGCCAGCTCCCAGGACACAGTTGTTCTGGTCTCAGGAATGTTGTGACCCAGTAACTTAAAGACAGCCATTTAAAAATCATGAAAATTTGGAATTCATAAGTCACGTTAAAGGTAGTAAGCACTCAGGACTCCTCTCTTCCTAATGAATTTACTCCGTCTGACCATCACGTGTGCTCTCGTGGGTATTTGCATTGACATGTCTGCATGATGCAGGTTCTCTGTGATGGTGCGCATCCCTGCCTCCCCACCCGTTTGTGGACCTCAAGTTGGTGGCTTGAAATTTGTCCCCCTGGGAGGATTCACACCATGGAAATTGATAAATGCTACAAATCAGGGTCGTTTGTTTTTGTTTATTCTGCAAAGAAGTTGCACAGCACACAACTGCACCCAACCAATGTAACTATGAGAACTAACACAGTTTGGGGCGCCTGGGTGGCTCAGTTGGTTAAGCGACTGCCTTCGGCTCAGGTCATGATCCTGGAGTCCCGGGATCGAGTCCCACATCGGGCTCCCTGCTCAGCAGGGAGTCTGCTTCTCCCTCTGACCCTCTTCCCTCTCGTGCTCTCTATCTCTCATTCTCTCTCTCTCAAATAAATAAATAAAATCTTTAAAAAAAAAAAGAACTAACACGGTTTGAAACCACCATGTTTTGGGGTGGCTTGTTACATAGAAAAGAATAACAATATCATGGTCCACGAAGGCCTAGTACTGGGTGGCCCTGCCCCTCCTCCAGAAAATCTTCCCTTCTGCCCACCCCACCTGTAGGGCCCTCCTACACCCTCTGCTGCTGCAGAGCACCAGATGGTCACTCAGCTCAGTTCAGATCCCCTCCTCAGAGAGGCCTCCCTGGACACTCACCTCATGCCATCCTCCAACCAGCCATGCTAGCATTTGCCCGTTTGGTGCCTGTCATTATGGGAAAGTAAACATTTGCTTACTGTGTGTTTCCCCCTCAAAAATCCAGAGCAGGGATCTTCCTGCCTTGTTCACTCTTGTGTACTCAGCCCAAACATCTGACCTGGGCAAGCCTCTAATGATTGCTGGCAGACTAATCAGCTGGTGGTTGAGTGAATGGATGAATGCAAAGACTCAGCTTGGGCATCAGTTGGCAGGATCTAACCCCGATGCACAGAGGACAGCTCCTTCCTGCCTCTCTGTTAAGCCTCATGCGCTCTCATTTTTTTTCTTTTTAAGATTTTATTTTTTTGAGAGCAAGTGACGTGAGCAGAGGGTAGGGGCAAAGGGAGAAGCAGACTCCCTACTGAGCAGGGAGCCTGATGCAGAACTCCATCCCAGGAGCCTGGGAGATCATGACCTGAGCTGAAGGCAGACGCTTGACTTACTGAGCCATCCAGGCGCCCTCATTTTTTTTCCTTATATGTTTGTCTCCTTCTGAAAGGAGCTTGAAACTCATCAGTGGCTTTCCACTGCTCTGACGGACCCTGTGCAGCTTGCCCCTCATGGCAGACCCCCTCCCACTCTGTGCTGATTCCTTTCCTGGTAAAGCTCTTCCCCAGACCCTTACCTGCCTGCCTCTTTGTCATACAAGTTTAGCTCAACTATAATTTCCTCAAAGAAATCTTTCAACACAGGACTCTCCTTGCTGTTCCAATGCCTGAAACACCCCACAGTGACCTGCATGACTCCCTACTTTATTCATGTGTTTGCTCAAACTCCTCTTAGGGCCTCCGTAGACGGTATGTCTAAAATAGCAGCATGCCCCCACACCCTGTTTCTTTACCCTGCTCTTTTCTGAACTCACTGTCTTGTGTTTCTGTGTAAGCACCCGTGACAGCAGGGATTGTGTAGTGTCTAGAGGAGTGCTTGGAGCACAGTAGGCCACAGTTAATACTGAGTGAATGAATGATGTAAATGGTAGCCCCTCCCACTGACACACACAGTTGGCTTCACATGAATGATGCCCTGAAGGGCAGGTCCTCCCCACACAAACAAAGCCGGACTGAGCAGGGATCCTGTCTCCTTTTTTTTTTTTTTTTTTTTTGAGAGAGACACAGCGAGAGGTAACACAAGCAGGGGGAGAGGGAGAAGCAGGCTCCCCACGGAGCAGAGAGCCACATGTGGGGCTCGATCCCAGGACCCTGGGATCATGACCTGAGCGGAAGGCAGACGCTTAACGACTGAGCCACCCAGGCCCCTGGGATCCTGTCTCCTGATCCCTGGCTAGCCCCTACACTTAGAATATTGACCAGCACATTCAAGGCACTGGAATGTGTCCACCAACGGATGGATGACAAAATATGGTGTATCCAGACAGTGCAGTATTATTCATCTGTAAAAAGGAACAAAGTTCTGATACATGCTAAAAATGAATGAATCTCAAAGCCTAATGCTAAGTAGAGGAGAAGGCAGTTACAAAATGTCACGTATTGTGTGATTCTTTTTATATGAAATGTCCAGAATAGACCAATCCATAGAGACAAAGTAGTTAGTGGTTGTCGAGAGGAGGGGGATTGGGGGCACTGCGTGCATATGGACTAGAGGGACCCTTTGGGGGTTATGGAAATGTTTTATTACTGCATTGAAGTAAATCCAGCTTTATTTACTAAAATGTAAATAACTGTGAATTTAAAAATTGAATTGTACACATAAAATGGGTAAATTATATTGTATGTAAATGATACCTGAATAAGCTTAAAGTTTTTACTTAGCATTTTTTTCCCTGCATGGATATGCCATTAATATATAGGCTCATTTGTTTTAACGTTTAGTGTTGTCTGTCACATTTTACTCGTAATTTGTTTCTCCAGTTTCCCACACTGTTTGCACCTTGCATGGCTGTAGTATAATCTCAAAACCAGGAAACACGTTAGTCCAAAGTGTGTACAGCTCAGGATGCAGAATTGCTTTCACCACAAAGACCTCTCTCCTGCCCCACTTTTCCACCCCCCCCACCATTCCTTGGCAACCACTAATCTGCTTTCCATCTCTATAATCATATCATTTCACAAATGTTATGTAAGTGAAAGCATGTAATACAGTATTGTTCTTTTGAGATTTTTCCCCTCTCAGCATCATAATGCCTTGGAGACTCATCTAAGTTGCTGCATGTATCAATAGTCCTTTTTTATTGCTGAAGAGAGTCCCATGATGTGGATGTGGATGCTCCACAGTTTGTGTAACCATTCATCTGTTCTGGGATTGGTCGGATTTTGGTTGTTTCCAGTTTTTTGTGTGGATTTAAGTATCATTTCTCTCTGAGATAAATATCCAGGAGTGCGGTTGCTGGGTCATACAATCAAGTATATGTTAATTTTTTTTTTTTTAAAGATTTTACTTATTTAACTGACAGAGAGAGAGAGAGACAGCGAGAGAGGGAACACAAGCAGGGGGAGGGTCAGACGGAGAAGCAGGCTTCCCGCTGAGCAGGGAGCCCGATGCGGGGCTCCATCCCAGGACCCTGAGATCATGACCTGAGCTGAAGACAGTCGCTTAACCAACTGAGCCACCCAGGCGCCCCAAGTATATGTTAATTTAAAGAAATGGCCAAACTACAGAGTGGCTGTACCATTTTATAGTCCCACCAGTAATGTATGAAAAATCTAGTTTCTCCACATCATTGCTAGCATTTGGTATTGCTACTATATATTTTAGCTGCTCCGGTAGGTATGTATAGTAAGATCTCGAGGCGGTCTTCATTTGCATTTTTATAATGGCCAGTGGTGTTGAACATCTTTCACAAGCTTGTTTGCCGTCTGTGTATCCTTTTCGGTGAAATGCCTCTTCAGATGTTGGCCTATCTTCTAACTGCATTTTTTTTTTTTTTAAGTTTTGGGAGTTCTTAATATATTCTAGGTTCCAGTCCTTTATCAAATATATGGTTTGCAAATATTTTGTAACTATCTGTAGCTTGTCTTTTCATTGTCTTATTGGAATCTTTCTTAAAAGAAACGTTTTTAATTTTGGTGAAGTCCAGTTTATTCATTTTGTTCTTTTGTAGTAGCATGTCTGAGAACACTTCACCAAGCCCTCAGTCCTGAAATTTTTCCTGTTTTCTTGTAAAAGTTTTATAGTTTCACATATTTCTGCACTTAAGTCCATGATCATTTTGAGTTAAATTTTGCATTTGCAGATGAAATGATGATCTATGTAGAAGAGTCCAAGGAATTTATAACAAGGAAAACTAGAACTAATGAGTTCAGCAAGTTCTCAGGATACAAGATCAACACACAGCATTTAATCACATTTCTATACACTAACAATGAACGTGTGGAAACCAGACTTTAAAACATTACCATTTACAATTACTGCAAAGAAAATTAAATACTTTGGTATCAACAACATGTACAGGATCTGTATGATCAAAATTACAAAATGTCAAAAGAAGTCAGAGAAGACCTAAGTGGGAGACATACCACTTTCACGATTGAAAGTCTCAACATAGGAAAGATGTCAATTCTCCCCAAGTTGGTCTATAGTTTCAGCGCAATTCTATCAAAATCCCAGGAAGGATTTTTATACACATAGAAAGTTTATTCCAAAATTTATATGGGAGGGCATGGGTACCCAAATACCTGGAACAATCCTGAGAAAAGCAAAGTGGAAGAAATGCCCTACCCAATATCAGGGCTTGCTGTAGGGCTACGGTGCTGGAGGCTGCGGTGTAAGCAGAGGGACAGGCGACAGAGGCCGTCAGTGAGACTCAGACAACCCCGAAATACCCCACAAGCAGCCGACTGATTTTGGACAACCGTGCAAAAGCACATTAATGCAGGAAGGACAGTTTTTTTTTTTTTTTAAAGATTTTATTTATTTGAGAGCGAGAGAACGAGAGATAGAGAGCACGAGAGGGAAGAGGGTCAGAGGGAGAAGCAGACTCCCCGCCGAGCAGGGAACCCGATGCGGACTCAATCCCGGGACTCCAGGATCATGACCTGAGCCGAAGGCAGTCGCTTAACCAACTGAGCCACCCAGGCGCCCCAGGAAGGACAGTTTTTTTTTTTAAATAATTTTTTATTGTTATGTTAATCACCATACATTACATCATTAGTTTTTGATGTAGTGTTCCATGATTCATTGTGCATAACACTCAGTGCTCCACGCAGAACGTGCCCCCCTCAACACCCATCACCAGGCTAACCCATCCCCAGAAGGACAGTTTTTTCAATAAACGGTGCTGAAACAATTTCATACCGGTAGAAAAAAAGAGGAAAAAAACCGGGGCGCTTGGGTGGCTCAGATGGTTAAGCATCTGCCTTCGGTTCAGGTCATGATCCCGGGATCTTGGGATCGAGTCCCGCATAGGGCTCCCTGCTAAGCGGGGAGTCTGCTTCTCCCTCTGCTTCTGCCTCTCTCTCTCTCTCTCTCTCTGACTCTCATGAATAAATAAATAAAACATTAAAAAAAAAAAAGAGGAAAAAAACCTTCACCTAAACCTCATGGCCTATTCCAACAATATTTTTATTCATTGATTTATTTATTTATTTTTAAGACATTGCTATGGCTCCACAGCAGGAGTCACTTTTGCATTGGCACCTTAAGATAAACAAGAACTGGCGCGGTGGGAGTTGAGGGGTTCGGGGTTCGAGGGGCGGAGGGGACGAGCCCCGGGGCCCACCCCACCGAGCTGCACCGACTCCGCCCATCGTCCCCCACCCGCGCCGGGGCCTCCTAGCCACGCCCCGCAACGGGGCCGAGGGGGCGGAGCGAGGGTGACCACGCCCACAGCCTGACAGATTGGGCGGGACGGGGCGGGGATCCGAGCCTTGGCCACGCCACTTCCGCCGGAAGTTCTCTTGTTTAGCTTCCGGCTGGAGTTGGTCTTCCAGGTCCAGAAGTTGCATTTCCGTAAGGGAGAGACTCGCAAACTCACTTTCTGAACTCCGCCTCGCGCCAGTTGTGAGTGGGCTCTCGAGTCCCACCCTGCGGTCGGGGCAGCCTGGCCCGAGGGCGGCTGTTGGCAAGCAGAAGTGGACGGTGTGTCTTCCGGAACGGAGGCAGCGCGCCCCGGCTGTTTCCGGAGGGTCCTACCCGGTCGCCGCGCCGCGCCCCGCCCCTCGCGCGGCCACGTCTCCGCTGGAGCCGCGAGGCCGGCAGCCGCCGAGGCTTCCACAGCGCCCGGGTGAGGGTCGCGGGCAGGCGCCCCGGCCGGGACTCCGGCCTGGGAGGGCGCGGGACCGCCGGGGGGCCGCGGCGCGGTCGGGGCGGAGGCCAGGCGGCGGGCGAGGGGCGCCGGGGCCTGGGCGGACGCGGAGGGCCGGCCGCGGCTCCACCCGGAGCGGCTACGCCCCGCGTCGGTCCCGCAGCTTGCCGTTGGTAGCCTCAGGGCCTGGGACCGGCTTCCTGAATCCCCGCCCGGCGAGCCCTTCCGGAGCGCTGTGTCCGCGGAACGGGGCGCGATTTCTGTCAGAGGCGCCCACCGCTGCTGAGCGGCTGCTTGGGAAACGCCGGGCGGCGCATGAGTGAGGGCTCTCGTCCTTGTGCAGAAGTTCTGCCAGGGTGACAAACGTGCCGTGCTGTCGGGAGGCTAGCGGGCGGTCGGCTGCAGGGAGTCCCCGTGGCTGCTCGCCGCTCCCTGCACCTGGACTGCGGCCAGCTTCGGGGGGCTGAGCGCGGGCCTTGCCCGAGGGAGTGGGGCCAGGCTCGGCCCCTGGAACGGAGCAGGCGAACAGCGCGGCCTTCGTTCTGCAGACATCTGTGGGTGTTAGTGGTGTGACAGGCGCTGTGCGTTGCCGGTCCTGGGACACTCTGAACTCACCTTCAGTGGGGCGATAGGCACGGTGCGTGCAGTCCTAGTGTGAGGTGCTGCTGTGGGGTGGGTCTGCGGGAAGGCCTCTGTGGCCATAAGCCACTCGTGCAAAACTGCGGGACAAGAGTTTTGCGGGCAGAGGGAGCAGCAGTGTGGCGACCCCGAGGGAGGAGTAACTTTGGTGGACTGCAGTGAAGAAGTATGTCGCGGCTGTAACGAGAAGGGAGGAAAAAGACGGGGGACGGGGATGCAGTGTAGGGAGGAGCCGGGTGGCAGACCACTTCCTAGTTCATGGTCAGAGGCTTGGGTTTTATTGTCACTGATTGAAAACCGCTGGGACGTAGTCTGCCATTTACAGGTGACTCACGCATTTAAAAACGTTTCAGATCGTTCCTTTAGTATTGCCAACCCGTTTCTGGAATGCGCGCTTTCAGTTCATGGACCTTGAATGGCAAGAGAAGAAAATGAAAATCATCTGACATTACTAAGATTCAAAAGTAGCGTTGTTTTTTTTGTTTTTTGCCAGTTGCCTTCAGCAGTGTACTTTCCTAAGTGAGAATATCTTCGGTTGGCTTTACCTGTCAGTTTTGACAAGCAGCAGTTGAAGGGAACACAACACTAATAATAAAGTGACCATTTATGGAGGGTGTGGGACAGACCTGCGCCTTGTTGCATTTAATCTTGGCAAAATTTTGTATTCTTTTTGTCATCATCTAGCTTATGAGGAAAACAGCTAAGAGTGGTTAAGAAACCTGCCAGGACCTTAGTTGAGGGTGGAGGAGTCAGGACTGACACAGGAGCCCACCCTTTCCACAGCACTGCTCTGCAGAGGCTTTGCACACCAGGCGCTGTTTACCTGTGGTTACTGGTGTGGCCTCAGCTAGACCTTATCTTAAGGAAGTCCTGTTTGATCTCCGGCCATGCTGTTCCTAACTGCCGGTGGAAACAGCTTAAACGAGCGAGGCGGGGTACGTGGAGCGCTTCGTGTGCATCTGGAACCACATAATCGGCTGTATGGGGGAAGCCAGAAGTCACACACATGCCTGAGCCAGTTTTCTCAGTATGAAGTCTCTCAATGTCAGATGGCATGAATTCAGAGTTAGGAACATTGTATAAGTCATAATTTTGCCCTGTCTTTTCCCTCTAGGAAACACAGCAGAGTGCAGGTGGTCAAAAATGCTACTGTGATAAGACTGATATTTTAATTTTTTTTAAACCAGGAACTGGAATGCATGTTACTAATAACAGCTTCCTTATGCTGTGCTCCCAGCTGTCTGACCCTTCTCCTTGCCTTGTTTTTGTCAGCAGTGAGGGAATGAGACCCTGACGACTGAGTCACGCTAAGTAAAGTACACCTGAGACTGAGGACAGACAGAGAGTGCCAGCTTATTACCTACAGGGACATGCCACCTCGCCAGAGGCTGCTCTGGGCAGTCAGTGAGTTCTGTCTGTTGTCCGGCCGCAGGGGGAGATGCACGTGAACAGGAGCTGCACGTGAACTCTTATCTTGAAGAGTTACCAGGACACGTCCCAGTCCCAGGGTCTTATATTGTGGAGGGCTGCATCATCCAACTCGGAAGCGGGTAGGACCTGTCGGGATTCAGCAGGTTTCTTGTTTTTCAAGAAATCCAAATAAAGGGAATTAAATGAGTGGAGTATGTGATGGCATCGGGCTCAGATGGCCTGACGCATTTGTCTCCATGTTTGATGGAACTTGAACATCTCAGCCAGAGTTCCTCTTTCCTGGTCAAGTGTTGTCACTGCTTGCCTTGGTGGCGCACGTTCTCCTCTGCGGCTCCTCTGCCACCCCTCTGCCTTCCGTTGTCTGGTTGGCGTGTTCTGTTTCTAGTACATGAGTGAAGACTGTCTGGTTGCCTGCCCTTCTTACCCAGGTGACATTGCTTATTTGGGATGTGGCCATTACATGCCAGTTGATAACTCCCAGGGGCATTCTTTGTCTCTCACTGGAACTGTAGCTTCCAAGTATTTTTAATAGGAATAGTTAGAGTTTTTCTGTATTTGAACAGGCAGTGTTGATGTTCAGGAGGCAAACACTCTGTTGTTGTGGAGTCACTAGCTTAGTTGCTAAGGGGTGGAACTTGGCAGAACCAAAGATTGAAGTCAGTAGCCTGTGCTGAGTACAGCTTGGAGTAGGGGATGTTTGAGGGGTGGAGCAGACTTGGAGCGGTGGTTTCTGCCTCCGAGGTCCCTGCAGCATGGTGGAGGAGATGGGCACACACACATTTGCACTGTGGTGTGCACAGAGGGGTTATCTTGATGGCAGAAAGGAGTGGGCTAGGCACTTTATCTGAGGCCCAGGAGAGACTTGAGAGGAGTGCCGAATGGTAGACATGAAAGGGTCCTTGGGAATTTGTCTGGTGGTCAAGGGGGGAGAGGCATCCATGGCAGAGGAACCAGCTTCTGCCTGAAAAGCACTCATCTGCCGTGGTTACCCTTTCAGGCATCATAGGGACAGGTGATTTACACACCTTCACCCCTGCCGCCACATTTGAAGGAGAAAGATTTATGCGTTTTGAAGAGAAACCAGAGTATGCCGCCACATTTGAAAGCAAAATGCAGACATTTTCTTTTGTTAAAGAATGTGTCAGGATGAGCAGCACATACAGTATGCCCTGTGTGTTTCACGTTCCGCTCTGTTTGTTGCTACATGTTCTTGAAGTGGCAAGCCTGTGATCAAGGGGACAGCCTGGCTGCCCTTTTGCTCCTGTGCCGTGCCTTGCCTTGTGGACATCTTCTCCATAGGCTCAGTCATCTGTAGTAGCCAAGTGGTTTTCCACGGAGCTGGGACCCTGTGGAACGGTGATTTTTGGAGGGCCCTGTGGGATGTGCAGGGACAGGTGTGGAGCCTCCAAGAGCCTGTTTGTCCATCCCCCCCCCCCACCCCAGAAAGGCTTTGGGGATGAAAGAGGTTACTGATTATTGTAGAGACAAAAACAAGATGGAGAACTCATTGCAGACAGGATCACGTTCTGGCCAGCCTTAGCAACTCCCATTTCTGTGATCCAGGTATTGTTTCAGTCTTCAAATATTTACATAAGCCAGACACTGAGTCACACTGGCACCCAGTGCTTTTCAGTTAGCTGGTTGGTTGTAGTCTCCCCTGTTGTTGCACACTCTGTCATGGTTCTTTCTGGTACAGCCCTTAGTGCTGGTTCTACACTTAATGGTACATATAACCTTTTCATATTCTTATCAGTGCTAGTACTGAGCCACAGCATCTTTTGGCCTGTAGGGTGCCAGACAGCAGAGTGGAACGTGCGAATGGTTAGAGCTGCAAGCCAGCCACTCCTGGGTTTACACAGGGGACACTGCCATCGCTAGTCACTCGATCATGGGTAAGACCAGGTTATGTCAACTACCAGTGGCTGCCTGGTCAAGGGGTATGGCAAGAGAGGATTTTGGAGAAAGAGGCACACCCACATCCTCCTGCCTTGGTGTCAGCATCATCCCCCCCTTCCTGTGTGGCCACTGCTCAGGCTCTTATCTGAAATGTCTGTATGGGATTTGTAAGCTGGAGAAGGAAGTCATGTAAATTTTTGTCCTGAAACTCATGAAACACAGAATAGTATGTAGGATAGTGTGAAACTTATTTCAGAGGAAGCAAATGCCAACATCTCTGCAGAATGAATAGTGGCTCAAACCTTATCTGATGATGAGGGACAGGTAATGAATATCCTCGGTATGCTTCCAGAACGGTAACCAGTTCCCGAACTTGGGGCGAAGTTTTCCTTCCTTAAACTTAGCCTAGTAGGATGGGCTAAAAGCTGATCCTGACAGAAATGAAAGACAAGACTGGTCACTTGCCATGAGATGCCTTCTCTGGACCCCGATTCCCAGGTGGCTGCCTTTCCATGTGTCCCCTCCCTGTGCTTCCCCTGATACAGTGTACTGTTTCCATGTTCCGTGCACTTGCATCCTCCACCATCAGGTCAGGCCTCCTGGGAGGGGAGCTTGCCCTATGAGCCCTGTGAGTGCTTAGGCCTGCGTGTCCAGTACAGATATCACTGGTCACATGTGGCTATTTAACTCAAATTACTTAAATTTTAACAAACAACTCAGTTCCTCAGCCTCGCAAGCCCTGCCTCTGCTAGGAGGCTCCCTGTGGTGCTTACAGTTCAGTTACAGCCCTGCCTGGGCAGGATGGCACTTAGTTGGCACCGGTACAGACATTAAGCACCTTCAGGAACGGGCTCAGGTGTGGCTGGTTCAGCATTTTATCCTCAAAACCTAGGATACTGTAGGTACTGAAGGGTTGTCTGCTGAATAAATAAATCTGTGTTTATTATATAGATGTGAGTTGGGAGCCAAATGTTAGTCTTGGAATTATTACTCAAATCTGACAAATGAAGATTCGTAATACTTTCTTTTTTCCCTCCTATCAGGTATCATGATATTACTTGGTTTGATTTCAAGCCACTTTTGAGACTTTAAATCTCCCCAAAATGGAAAGCCTAGTGTGGTTCTTCCCAGAAGCTCTTGGCTGCTGCTGATGGCTGAAACCACACCTGCCGGCGGCTTGCTTGCAGCCCCTGAGACTCCGCCCAGCCTGTGCCGTTCTGACCATGGACGGAACACCAGCCAGATCTAGTAGTGGCACCCCAGCCGACCCAGAGGCCCTCCTCAAGCCCCCAGGCTCGCCGGCACCACCTGACCAGTGGGACGAAGCCAAGTGTAAGTCAGTGGTTACTCTGTGCTGCTGACATTTTGCCTTTAAATAGGAGGACGTGGATCCTCTTGCATTTTGGAACAAGACTGTGGTGTGTAAGACCATAATGAACTTTATGTTCAGAGTGTGTTTTTACTAATCAGATGAGTTTTTTTTCTTAGTTGCAACTTTAAATCAAGTACCGTGTGTGTTAAACAGGATAGGAGCTGTCCCATGCTCTGCTCCGGCAGGATGCAGCAGTGGGTTCTTTCCCCTTAAGTCTTCTGTGGGTCTTCACTGACACATTGTTCCCTGCCTTACATCCTACCTTTCTTTTTTTTTTTAAAGATTTTATTTATTTATTTGACAGAGAGACAGCGAGAGAGGGAACACAAGCAGGGGGAGTGGGAGAGGGAGAAGCAGGCTTCCTGCCGAGCAGGGAGCCCGATGCGGGGCTCGATCCCGGGACCCTGAGATCGTGACCTGTGCCGAAGGCAGTCGCCCAACCAACTGAGCCACCCAGGCGCCCCTACATCCTACCTTTCTTGTCGGTTGGTTGCCTAAGTTTTACTAACTGGGATCCAGAAATGGCCCAGTAGTGATCTAAGGATTATTGGACCACATTTGCATGTTAGCTGATGGATTATTCATGTGTCAGAACTACAGGGTGAATTATTCACTTGGTTCTTACGCCCCTTCCTGTTTAGGAGGGTCGGTGCAATGTGTGCTTGGAAGTCATAGAGTCTGTACGTACTGGTTTGCAGGCAGAAATTGTGTTCTGTTCTTTTTTTTAATAAGATTTTATTTATTTGTCAGAGAGAGAGAGTACAGGCAGGGGGAGTGGCAGGCAGAGCAGGCAGAGGGAGAAGCAGACTCCCTGCTGAGCAAGGAGCCCGATGCGGGACTCAATCCCAGAACCTCAGGATCATGACCTGAGCCGAAAGGCAAACACTTAACCGACTGCGCCACTCAGTCGTCCCTGCATTCTGTTCTTGCAAATGATGTTCAGGCACCTAAAACGGTTTTGTTGATTACTGCTCCTTCAGTGCAAGGGAAGGCTGGTAACAGCAGGGGCCCAAGACCGAGGATTCAACGGCAGGATAGATAGGGAGCCCGCTCTTAGATCCGTCACTAAGAGCTTGAACTCTCCAGCAGGGTTCTTATTTGATCTCATTTCACTTGTGTAAATGGAAGAGTAATGGTGCATGCACCGTAGGATAGTTGTGAGGACTGAAAGAATGGTGCATAAAACACAAGTACTCAGACGCAGTGGGAAGTGGTAGTAGCCATATTTTGTCATTGTCTCGTCATCTTTGTTACTTGTTTATCCACGATTTGGCTTGTGTTTGGGAACAATAGTCTTAATATTTTTTGGGCCTTCTTTTATATTTTTTAAAAGTATAATATAATGCTCAAAAAATTATTTTGTCATGTAAACAGGAAGTTGTAGAGACTCTCCCAGATCTATAAGCCCATCAGAAAGTGGTATTGATCTGATTACCTTGTATCTGAAATCCAGGCTTCCCTTCCCCCTCACCCAACATGGAGCCAAAGGGATGTTTGTATAAGAGCAGATGGTCGGGTCAGGGCCGTGGTCCAGTCTCCTCACTCTGCTTTGGGTCTTTGGTGCTCCTTTTGTATTGTTTTTCCTCTCAGGAAGCATGACAGTGAGTCTCTGTATTGGTTGGAAATCAGATGTCAAGTATCAGAAACCCATTTTGAATTTGCTTGGGCAAAGGGCAATTTCCTGATGCATCCTGGGTACATCCAGGGATCCAAGTGGCGTGGATCCCTGTGGGAGGCTGGGACCTTGCTGCCCTTGGGAACCTCTGGAACCACACCCAGTGGCCCCTGGACCCTCCCTTCCTCCCTCCAGGCGCCATCTTGGTTCTTGACTGCCAACTGGCTCCCTGACCTGGGTGAGGGGACAGGGAAGGTAAAAATCATTTAATTGTAAGAAGTCTTTTTTTTTCTTTTGATGGGGAAATGGGTTTCAGTTAGTGTATGACAGATCTGTGTAGAGTGATGTTAGTGGGTAAAACTGAGCTGGATACGTGCGTGTATAGTCACCAATGTTTAAACTTGGGTTTTTTGGGCGCCTGGGTGGCTCAGTCGTTAAGCGTCTGCCTTCGGCTCAGGTCATGATCCCAGGGTCCTGGGATCGAGTCCCACATCGGGCTCTCTGCTCAGCGGGAAGCCTGCTTCTCCCTCTCCCACTCCTCCTGCTTGTGTTCCTGCTCTCGCTATCTCTCTCTCTGTCAAAAAAAAAAAAAAAAAAAACTTAAAAAAAAAACCACAAAAAAAAACTTGGGTTTTTTGGGGCACCTGGGTGGCTCAGTCATTAAGCGTCTGCTTTCACCTCAGGTCATGATCCCAGGGTCCTGGGATGGAGCCCCACATCGGGCTCCTGCTCAGCGGGAAGCCTGCTTCTCCCTCTCCCACTCCCCCTGCTTGTGTTCCCTCTCTAGCTGTCTCTCTGTCAGTTAAATAAATAAAATCTTAAAAAAAAAAATAAACTTGGGTTTTTATCTGGCAAGTGTTCATCAGACAGAAACACAGGCTCTGACTCTTTGCCGTTATTGTTTGGATCAGTAAATGTACCTCTTTGACTTAGATTTCTCGTTTTGGAGGATGAACTTACGCTGTGAAACAGCTTTGGAACTGCCCCGGTGTAAGCGTGAGGCTGTGGCTCTGATTAGCGCGCTGTTTCCGGCGCCTGTTAGGAACGTTGTCAGCTGTGTTTTTAGCATTGGTTTCCTTCCGCTATGTTAAAAGCAGGCTTTCATGGGATTTCTCATTGGTCTTATTTAAATGAAAAGGAAACATTACTACTTAAATCCCACAATCTCGATTCTACAATGAGCAGTTGAGCCGCTTGTCCGATAGCACCCGCTGATGTGAGGAGAGCGAGGCCTGCTCTCCTCCCAGAGCAAACAGTCTCATGGGGCATGGAGAGAGCTCATTCTCCTGCATGTAGAGTCTCTTCTGTCCTGTGTTAGCTGCGTGTCTGAAAAACCACTTGATCTAGTTGTTAAAACCATGATGGCCCAGCATGCTGTCTTTTCCAGGTGCCAGTGTCCAGGTACACAGAGCTTCAGATGGAGGAGGAGGCCTGGATGTACCCAGCAAGGGTGACGCCTGTCAGAATGGGCCGACGCCACCGTTTCCAGACCCTTCGTCACCTCCCCCCACAAGCCCAGGGGGTCCCGATGCCTCTCCAGGTGTGGCTGGTTTCCATGACAACCTAAGGAAGTCTCAGGGGACTAGTGCTGAGGGCAGTGTTAGAAAAGAAGCTTTGCAGTCTCTCAGACTCAGTCTTCCTATGCAAGAAACGCAACTGTGTAAGCATCTGTTCCCACTGGGCTCTTCCCCACTCCCCCAACCCCCTCCTGCATCACTTGGTGCTCACCACCCTTCAGAGGCACGTGCCTTGGCTAGCTTGCTGCTCGTCCCTCTGTCATCACCGTTTTATCCCTGTGGTGGGTTGTGTGTTGAGCAAGTGGCTCCTTTTTAGAGAGAAAATAGACTTCTTCATGGTCGACACTGGGGATGCTGCTCCAGGTCTGGGTTTAAAGGACTGCGCGGCATGTCTTTTGTTACCATGGATGGTGAGCAAGCAGTCAGCAGGGAGTTAAACTTTGACAGCGTTCTTTTCTGTATTATTTTAATCAGTATGGGAACCCAAGGGTGAACGGGTCGTAAACTGGCCGCCTGTGGGCCCTGGAAACATCCAGGCCTTTTTCCAGCACGTTTGTCGTACACAGACACTCCTGATCTTACGTAATGGGATCGTACCACACGAGCCGTTTTCACCTCTCGTGCCCCTCCCCTGCAGGGAAGCCACACTCTCACACAACCCTTTATAGCCCCTGCAGACACCCAGGTTTCAGTCATTGTGTCTTAGGAAGGGATTAGATTGTCATACCCTGTATTTCCTGTTTAGTGTTATCACGTGCAGATTGCCCCCACACTGTCTGATGCAACTCCAGATTCATTCTTTGAAGGCTGGTCAGGAGCCCCTGGCATGGCCGGCTGGGTCTCTGCATTTGTTCCATCGGCCAACATGACTAATGCTGTGGAGTGCGCCATGGCACACGTGTTGGTGCTTTAATTTCTGTAGGCTACACCCCAGAAGCAGAATTCTTTTTTTTTAAAGATTTTATTTATTTATCAGAGAGAGAGAGAGACAGAGGCAGGCAGAGGGAGAAGCAGGCTCCTTGCTCGGCAAGGAGCCTGATGCAGGACTCGATCCCAGGACCCTGGGATTGTGACCTGAGCCGAAGGCAGACGCTTAAACGACTGAGCCACCCAGGCCTCCCCAGAAGCAGAATTCTTGGTCAAAAACAATGGCATCTTTATTTTCATCATGCACAGCCCTGTCTCCAGGCCACTAACGACCCTGAGAGGCACAGGCTCCCCCTGGGCTCGCACTGCTTTCAGTTTCACCAGCCTGTTGGCTGTGCCACAATGCTTCTCCAGTACTTTAGTTTGGAGCTCACACTTCCCTGATCATTTGGGCATCTTCTACCTGTTGGCCGTTTGGCCGTTCTTTTCTGTGAATTGTTGATTTGTTTGGCCCATTTTTCTTTTGGATTGTTTGCTCTTTTCTTAACAGGCATTATTTTGCTAGGGCTGCAATATGTTTTTTAAAATTTCTGCAAACTTAGGGGTGCCTGGCTGGCTTAGTTGGTGGAGTGTGCAACTCTTGATCTTGGGGTTGTGAGTTCAAGCCCCACATTAGGTGTAGAGCTTACTTTAAAGAAACAAAATAATTTTTAACTGTCAACATTGAAGTCCAGAGCTGTCACATAAAAGTCTGGATTCTTGATTGTAGGGATTTGTGAGCCCTAACCCCAGGTGCCCACATGGCGGCGTCCTGCGGCCACCAGCTGCCCCTCTTGGCGAGTATTCACCCAGCCCTGCGTCTGCTGACTTGGGCTCCCTGCTTGAGGCTGTAGACCCCTAGGTTTTTGCCATGTGGATCCCTTAGCCTTGGGAAAAGTACTAGATCTTTTTTTCAGTGATAAACGCACACATTAGTAATGACTTGGTGAGTTCCTAGTGAAGTTCTTGGCAATCTCAGGTTTTAGAGATTATTGTTATAATTATTTAAGATTTATATTTATTTTGGGGGGGGTGCGTGCTCGCAAGTTGGGGGTGGGACAGAGGGAGAGAGAGAATCTCCAGCAGACTCCCTGCTGAGCGTGGAGCCTGACCTGGGGCTTGACCTCATGACCCTGAGATCGTGACCTCAGTCAAAACCAGAGTCAGACGCTTAACTGACTGAGCCACCCAGGTGCCCCTGAGGTTTTAGGGATTATTTAAAACAACAGCTGCTTATCTTCTCAGAATCTACATTTGAAGATGGTGCTGTCTGTAAAGTGGTTAAATTAGGACATTTTCCTGCTCTCATCTGTGTAGTAGCTGACCCTGCCTGTGCCCTTGGCAGCATTCCAGGTGCACGGCTGCTGAGTGTGAAAGAATCCTGTGGCTGTTGTACCTTTTGCTCACTGTTCGGCCCTTTTATTACCCAAAATAAAGGATTTGGGTTTTGAGATATTCTAAATTCTGTTTTTGGCCAAAAAGTTGTCATTTCCCCTCCGGTCCTTGAGCCTGGCCCCTGGACCTGAGTTGCCTCTGTCAGGAAACTGAGGTAAGCAGCCCCAGGCCTTGCGGGGACGCCTGCCCGGCCTTCACTTTGAGGTGAGTCCTCAATGGGTCACTGTGAACAGTCTTTTTCCTTAGTAAGTAATGACTGAGTATTGCTTGTATGAGTACCTTTTGGTTTTGCAAAACTTGACTGTAACATGACTCGCCGCAGGAATTTAGATAAGCTGTGGGTCAGATCGTACCAGCAGATGTGGCCGTGTGAAGAAGGCGTGTTTGGTGTCCCCTGACCACATGTTCGGATTATCCCTCAGTACGGTTCTGTGGACACGACTGCCCACGTGCTCCTATGCCACGTCCCGAGCGCAGTTGGAGCTTCGTGGGAGCTGAGGATCCCTGAGCCCTTGCACTGACTTTAGATTTAGTTCTTTTGTTGCTGCAAGTCATGGGTGAGCCGTGTCCGTTTTCCAGCTGGATGCCTGTGGGGAGCGGCACACTGGTGGCATGAGCACAGATCCCGTGCTTTGCCAGTGGGTCTTCCACCAGGCAGGTCCAGGGCTCACGGTTGTCTCTCCATCAGGAAATAGCTCTTTCAACCTAGAAGGTGAGGTATTGTTTAAAGCTAAATCATATTTAATTGGAAATTGAACGCAAAACAGCCAAGCTGCTGTTCCGATTTGTCCTCTGTGCCCTGGTGCTTTATGAGTTTTTAAATGGTCATTTCCTCACCGCAGGTTCAACAGAGGCTTCCCTGCCCCTGGAGAAGGAGGAGCAGGTCCGACTTCAGGCTCGGAAACGGCTAGAAGAACAGCTCAAACAGTACAGGGTGAAGCGCCAGCAAGAAAGAGTGAGTCTCCCTGTCTTGAACAAGCTAATGGGGAACTTCATGTGTGGAAAATAGAAATTAGACATAGTTTCTAGGACCTGTCGTTGGTTCCTCTGTGCTGGGATGGCCTTCTGTGCTTCTCTGGGAAGATCATTTCTCTCTGCAGTTCCCACTCTATGGGGAGATCATAGCAGGATTGTGACTCCTGCCCCGTATGGGCCGCCTTCCCTTAGATCAAGCATATTTGATTCCTGTATCTGCCATTTGAAAAGCAGAGACTGCAAGTACTTGTGTATAGTTTTTCTCCCTCCTTGAGCAGTCAGTTCTAGGTTTCAGCTGTTTATTTCATGAGTGGTGTAGTGTCTGCTGACCGATGGTCCATGCAGTGTCAGAGTGATGCCATGTCACGTGGATTTGATGAGTACGTGCTAAAGTCAGTTCTATTCAGGTATGAAACTTTGGTTGGTATGCTAATGAAAGCAGTCTTTTTAATCATACCAAGTGACTGTAGGCAAATGGGTTTGGATGTTCGTTTCATACTTTGTCCAACTTTTCTGTACTTAAGAATTTCAAATTTAAACGGATTCAAAGTTAAACTAACTTTTAAACATGCTTTCAGTGAGTGATTTAGTGGTGACATGTCCCCGTCAGGCTCTTTGTGTTCCCAAGAGGGGACTGTGCCATGATGGGTGTCATTGCCCCAAGCCAGCGTGAGTGGGCTGGAGGAGCCACCACCAGGCTCGTCTGCCTGGTCAGGGGCTTTCGGGGTCTGTCCAGATGGCCCAGCGGAAGTTATAGCGATAGTAGCTAGTAATCATTTCTTGCCAGACACTGTGTTCAGTTCCCTATGGAAGAGTAACCTGAGGCTCAGATAGGTAAGGAGCTTGTCAGGGGTTACTCAGTGGTGAAGTGGAGAGTCACAATGTAGACCAGACAGTGTCTTTGGGCCAGGGCCTGTGCACACTGTCCTCACTCTGCCTCCCGGAGGTCTGTCTGCGTCGTCCAACATTAGATGGTTAATGTGTTAGAAGTTCAATGTAAGATTCCAAATGTGAAATTTAGCATCATTTCCCATCTTTAAAAATGATATACACACATAACTGATGGCTTAAATGGAAGAATATTTCCTTAGTCTTCAGTAAGATAACTTCTCTTCAAGTGATGGAAACGGGCATTGTGTTTGTTACATGGTATTCTTTTTTTTTTAAAGGTTTTATTTATTTATTTGAGAGAGAGAGAATGAGAGATAGCATGAGAGGGAAGAGGGTCAGAAGGAGAAGCAGACTCCCTGCCAAGCAGGGAGCCCAATGCGGGACTCGATCCCAGGACTCCAGGATCATGACCTGAGCCGAAGGCAGTCGCTTAACCAACTGAGCCACCCAGGCGCCGTTACATGCTATTCTGACCAACTTATGGTCCCTGCGTGCTCAGCTGCCCCCACCCTGAAGTAGGCAGAAAGACAGGCAGCAAGATGCTGGTATCAGGACCACCACCTGTCCTGCTCCAGAGACCCTCAGGGCAGGGCCAGCAGAGGCAGAGTGCAGTCTGGGAGCTGCTGTTGTGTGCGCAGACCAGAGTCTCCTTTAGTCCTCCTCAGCCCCGTGAGGAGTGGCTGTTGGTGAAGCTCAGAGCGGAATGGCTGGCTGTGTGGGGGTCCGAGCCTGCCTGTCTGCATGCCAAGCTATGCTCGCCACTGCAGCACTCAGTCAGCACCACCTGCCAGTGTGCAGTGCAGGATTGCCGAGTGAGGTGTTTTCTGAGTACGGGTCAGTTCAGAAGGGGAGAATCTGCCAGAACTCATTATGGTGGTAGGTCCATGTGAAGAGGCTTATGACCATCTCAACAGGTGCTGAAAGGGTAGGTGTTTGATAAAAATCAAAATATGCAAAACAAGCGAACAAAAACTACTAAACTAGGAGAAGGATATTTCTTTAGGAATATTTTGCTTACACGAGGAACGTAGCTCAGACCCCATATTCACATGCCACAGATAGCAAGTAAGAGTTCTGTCCCATTTACAGTCTGATAAACACTTTGAGAACATCGTTATGCCTTGACAGTGGTTGGTTCTTCATACTGCCTGCCCTTCTCACCGTGTCTTGAGTGCCGTCATCCTTCACAACAACGTGTGTACCAGCATTTCATTAGCAGCCTCTCTTGATTCAACATTTTGGTTGTTTCTCAATTTTTGTATGTTTTATTTTAAAAGATTTTATTTATTTATTTGACAGAGAGAGAGAGAGAGAGAGAGATCACAAGTAGGTAGACAGGCAGAGGGAGAGGGAGAAGCAGGCTACCCGCTGAGCAGGGAGCCAGATGCGGGGCTCGATCCCAGGGCTCTGGGATCATGACCTGAGCCGAAGGCAGACGCTTAACGACTGAGCCACCCAGGTGCCCCTCAATTTTTGTATTTTTTAAAAAGATTTTATCTATGAGAGAGAGAGAGCACCCGCGAAGGAGTGGGGAGGTGGGGCAGAGGGAGAGGGAGAAGCAGAGACCCCGCTGAGGAGGGAGTCTGATGCAGGGTTTGATCCTTGATCCAGAATCCTGAGATCATGACCCGAGGCAAAGGCAGTTGCTTAACCCACTGAGCCACCCAGGTGCCACTGGTTGTTTCTAAATTTTTGAAATTGCAAACAACGCTGCAATGAATGTTTTGTGCCTTGGTATACTTTTTTTTTTTTTTAAGATTTTATTTATTTATTTGACAGACAGCGAGAGAGGGAACGCAAGTAGGGGGAGTGAGAGAGGAAGAAGCAGGATTCCCGCCGAGCAGGGAGCCCAATGCGGGGCTCAATCCCAGGACCCTGGGATTATGACCTGAGCCGAAGGCAGCCACTTAACTACTGAGTCACCCAGGCGCCGCTGTGCCTTGGTATACTTTTGTGGACAAGTCCTTGAATGTCAAATTATTGGGTAAAGGTTTTATGTATTTGTTAGTTTGATACTTGTTGCACTCTGGATAGGCTGGACTGGTTTATACTCCAGTTAGCAGTAATGAGACTGCTAGTGTTGTCATCCTTGTGAGCATTAAAGTAACAAAAATTGGATTTTTGTCCTCTAATAGGTGAGAATAACAGTGTCACCTAGCAGTTCGCACCTCTTATGTGTTAGTGGTTTGTGTCTTTTTTTTTTGAAGATTTATTTATTTTAGTGGGGGAGGGGCAGAGGGAGAGAGAGAATCTCTGGCAGACTCCCCGCTGAACTTTGGAGCCTGACGCAGGGCTGGATCTCACGACCCTGAGATCACAATCTGAGCTGAAACCACAAGTTGGACACTCAACCAACTGAGCCAACCAGACGCCCCATGTTTGTGTGTCTTTGTCAGTCTTTGCTCATTTTTCTGTTGGCTGTCTCTTTGCTACATAGGTTCTATATACTGGAAATTACTCCCTTTTCATCTTCATTGCAAATTTTTTCCCTGTTCGACATATCTTTTAACTACTTCTCTGGCATATTTTTCACTGCACATCAGTTTTAAATATTTGTAGTCAAAATTTTCTATCTTTGCTGTTACTTCTTTGGGATTTATGTTATATTTCAATATGACCTCCCTATTTGAGGAATAAAAATAAGTTCACCAGTGTTTTCTTCTTATAGAAAAAGTATAAGATAGTATGAAAAAGTATTTTAAATATGTTTTTTTAATATTTAAATCTGCTCCATTTGAAACATGTTGGATGATGGCGAGAGGTGGGAACTTGCCCCTGTGTGGGTAGCAGGTTGGTTCTCACACTGCTCATTCCCTCAGCAGTTGCGGCCCTGCCTTCTGTGGCTCCTTGAATATCTGCAAACCCACCTATACTTGGACGGATTTCTGGGCTGTATTCGGTGTCATCTGCCTGTCTTCTGCTTTTCAGTTCTCAGTGGATCTAATTACTGTGGCTTCACAGTCTGTGTTAGTATCTGGATCGGCCAGTCTATCCGTTGCCTTGCACCCCAACTCTTTTCCAGCTATTTTTGCTCATTTATACTTCCTGTCGCATCCCAGTATCATTTTGAGATGTTTCCCTTTCCCCACCTTGTCTCCTTGCCCCGTCGTAATTGCACTGATTTCATGGAATAAGCATAGGATTGGCTATTTCTCTGTAAGAGAAAGCCATTTTGGAAAGGCAACTGGGGGGCACCTGGGTGGCTCATTTGGTTAAGTGTCCAACTCCTGGTTTCAGCTCAGGTCGTGAACTCGGGGTGGTGAGATGGAGCCCTGCATCGGGCTCCACACTCAGTGCAGAGTCAGCTGGAGATTCTCTTTCTCCCCACCTCCCTCCACCCTCTCTGCCTCCCCCCTTGTTCACGCGCACACGCGCGTGCTCTCTCTCTCTCAAATAAAATCTTTACAAAATAGCAACAGGGAACAGTGTCTGCTGTCCCCCTCCATCTCCTTCAAGGCCCTGTGGAAATTCTGGTTGACATAAGAAAAAGAAGTAAGAGATACAAATACTGAAAAAGAGGAAAAATGTTATTTGCAGGTCTTGGTAATGCCTTGGAAAACAGAGGATCAACTGAAAAAATTATAATTTATTAAAATATTCTAAAATCATTAAAATAATGATTCAGAAAATTGTCAGTGAAATACAAATAGAAAAATCAGTAGTTATCCTAATATGACTAGTTATAAAAATAGTGGGAAAAGATAGTATTTATAACAATAAAATGATAAAATATCTAAGAATTAAATTAAAATGGCAATAGAAATGGTTTAGAATCGGGGAGCCTGGGTGGCTTAGTCAGTTAAGCGTTTGCCTTGGGCTCAGGTCGTGATCTCAGGGTCCTGGGATCGAGTCCCACATCGGGCTCCCTCCTCAGTGGGGACTCTGCTTCTGTCTCTTTCTCTGTCTGTTGCTTCCTCTGCTTGTGCTCTCCCTCTCTGACAAATAAATAAATAAAATCCTAAAAAAAAAATTATTTAGAATTTAGATGAATCCTACATATCTTCCTTTGTTGAGAAATGCACAAGGAGGTATGAATAACTGGAAGCAGCTTGTTATCCCTAAATAATTACAAATCTAAGGTCGTTGTAATTCAGCAGGGCTTTTTTTAACTAGAACATTTCCTGGGCACCTGGTGGCTTAGTTGGTTGAGCGTCTGACTCTTGGTCTCAGCTCAAGTCATGATCTCAGGGTCATGAATTCGAGCCCCGTTTGGGGTCCATGCTGGGCATGAAGCCTACTTAAAAAAATAATAATAACTTAAGGGAGGCCTGGGTGGCTCAGTTGGTTGAGCGTCTTCCTTCGGCTCAGGTCATGCTCCCAGGGTCCTGGGATCGAGTCCTGCATCGGGCTCCCTGCTCAGCTGGGAGTCTGCTTCTCGCTCTCCCTCTGCTGCTCCCCCTGCTTGTGCGTGCTTGCGCTCACTCTCTCCCTCCTTCCTTCCCTCCCTCCCTCTCTCTGACAGTTGAATAAACAAAATCTTTAAAAAATAATAACAACTTGAACATTTCAAATCTGTCGAGAAGAGTGAGTGCAGGAGGACTGCCAGGAAAGCCTATAAGAACAGGGTCGTGAGGAGGGACTTGCTCTGGTAGAAGTTTTAAAGTGATGCCAAGTCACAGTTAGGCTTGTGCTGGACCTCTGACTAGGTGCAGAGCTGGCGTGTGAGGGTTTGTACAGGGAGGGTACTTGGTACAGCCTTTCTGGGTGGCAGTATTTGAACGCTCCTTGTCACTTTTCAACATCATTTCTGTACTTTTCTTTCTCAGTCCAGTCAGCCTGTGGCTAGAACGAGACTGTCTAGTACACTCGACCCAGAGCTCATGCTGAACCCAGAAGCCTTGCCCCGGGCCAGTGCTGTGGCCCTGACAAAGGAGTATTCCTTCCTGCGCACCAGTGTCCCTCGAGGCCCAAAGGTGGGCAGCTTAGGGCTCCTGACACATCCTAAGGGGAAAAAAAGTTCCAAATCAAGCAAAATTCGGTCTCTGGCTGATTACAAGACTGAAGACGAAGGTTCTGGGAGTTCTGGTGGAAACATTCCGGCTGTAGACTCTGCCAGGGGCTCTCTGAAGCAGAACCGCAGCAGTGTGGCATCCGTGGTGTCTGAGGTTAGCCTGTGTCCTGAGGCTGATGATCACCTGGAGAATGCGTCCCTGACGGGTGACAACACGTCTGAGGCCGATGGGAATGAGAGTGACAGCTCCTCCCACAGCAGCGTGTCTACCCGCGGGACATGTGGGCTTCTAGTGAACGCCGTGGGCACTCGAGAAGCCTCCTATGTGGTCAACGGCCAAGAGATTGCCGCTGGTGCGCTGGGCCAGTTCCCCTCCATCACAGATGTCCTCCAGGCCGCAGCAGCCGAGCACCAAGACCAGGGGCAGGAGGTCAACGGGGAGACGCGGAGTCGGACAGACAGCATCTGCAGCAGGTGGGTGCTGTCTGCAGACCGCCCCTCCACTACCAGAGCTGACGGACAGCACTGTTCTGCTCTCCTAATTATGTGTTTAGTCTTTAACACATCATTTATACATAACTCTGTTACCCTAAGAAATGGAATAGATCAGTAACCATTTCCATTATTAAGATTTGCTGTTTTACAGTATTTGTGCAGACGTGTCTCTAGGACTGCACGGGTGCTTCCCTGGGCTGATGTTTCACTGAAGATTTTCCAGCTCCGTGGGGGTGTGTTTATTGGTAGCATTTTTAAGAGCATTGATGCTTGATTTAAATCTTTTAACTTATTTTAAAAAACCATGGGGGAGAGGAGCAGCGGTGTGAGGGGCCTGGAGAAGCGGGGCAGGTGAGGAGGAGCGGTGCTGCGTCCTGCGACGTCAGGTGCCTGATGCTTGGTGCCCTTGTTCCCCAGCGTGTCCCTGGAAAGCTCTGCTGCCGAGACCCATGACGCCATGCTGCAGGCCCTTAAAGACAAGATGAGGCTTGAAGGGCAGCTGGAGGCGCTGTCTGCAGAGGCCAGTCAGGTAATGGATGCGCTCGGGCGGGCGAGTGTGCCGCGGCTTTGAAGGGTGTGCGATGCCTGCTGGTTGGGTGCGGTTGTGCACATGTCTTGAAGTGGAGCCCGGGCTTCTGTGTCCTCTCCCTTGGCTCCATTAGCCTCAGGAAGAAGTGCGCTCGTTTCCCGTCTGACTGCGTGCCTCAGTTTCCCCTGTATCCCTGTCCTAGCTCTGCTGATAGATACCTAACAGTCCTTTTGGTGGATTTCACTTTCCTGGCATGGTAAAATTGTTGTCTCTGTCCCTTTAATTCTCTTTGCTGTGGCTTTTGCTTTTCCTGATGTGAATTTTGCTGTATCTGTTTATTTCTATCCCTTAATTTTCAGTTTTCCTGTTGACAGTCAGGGTAAATCTGTTCAGTGGAAGCCTGCTCTTGGTTTGGTGTGGAGAGCGGGGACACACACGATTACAGAGGTGGTGTCGAGGCTGCACAGGTGTTCCAAGTACACGGCACAGGGATGCGGCTCTGCCAAACGTGCCCCTTGTGCCTGATGTCGTTTTTTGCATGACGTGGTCCTGGGACACAGACTGACCCCTCTGTGTACATAGACCAGTGTTGACTGAGGAGGTGGTTGCTGGGAATGAAGGTGAATTTTGGTGGCACATGACTTTCGCTGTCTGTCCCTCATCAAATGCATTTTTGCTTCATCTGCACATTCAAGCCCATGAATGATGTCGGAACCTTTGTTTGCTTTTATTTTACTGTACCTTCTTTTCCTCCTGGGATACTGATTTGCTCTTGAGTTGTGTGAATTGTGACGGATGTGATCCTTTCCGGCTTTGCTGTAAGAATCCAAGTTCTACTTACTGCAAAATCTCATTGCATTTGCTCAGTTAACTCGATTTTTTGGAGTATTTGTTATTCTGTTTGTTGAATTTGATGTTTGTCTTCGTGATGTTGGTTTTCTTCTCGTGTGTTGATGGGCATTTGTCTGCCCATCTTTGCATTTTGGAATTCCTGTCTACACCCCTGATAGACTCATTTTTGGGTAGGCGGGAGATGCTGATGGCAGAGGGGGCGTGTGCCCTTCCCCTGTCGTCCCTTGGACGGTCTCTGCTGCCCTGGGGCCTAGGGCTTGTCAAGGCCCCACCTTCCCTCTCAGCTCCTGTTTTACCCTACAGACAGCGTCCCTGTGGTGCCTTGTGTGCTCTGTGCCCCATGGCCCTGGCCAGAGCCCCTCAGAGTCCTTCTTGTGTAGTAGGAGGCAGTCTCTGCCTGCAGGCATGTTCCCAGATCTGAGTCTGGTGTTGTGGGGTCTCTGCCTGCAGGCGTGTCCCCAGATCTGAGTCTGGTGTTGTGGGGTCCCTGGTCCCCTCAGTACTCCTGGTAGTCTTCGCATGTGTGCGCGTGCATGCTGGTGCACTCGTTTCTTGAACAAATGTGTTTTCCGACATCCTTGTGGGCGAGCAGGTGCTTGCACAGCTCGGGTGTTACCCGTGCAGAGAGTAAGCAGACTCCATGGTCGCCCCTCTTGCCCCTTTGGCCTGTTTGGAGAACCTGCCTTCTTTTGGGAGAGCCATCATGTTAGAGCAGCTGAAAGCTTGGGAGACACGGTGCTTTCCCCTCTGTGTCTCACTGGTTCATTTTGGTGGCCCTCATAATGCATGGGGTGGAAGTGGCTCATTTTCTGACAGTTTCTGATGGGGGTCTTCCCAGGCACTTAAAGAGAAGGCAGAACTGCAGGCGCAGCTCGCCGCTCTGAGCACAAGGCTGCAGGCGCAGGTGGACCAGAGCCACAGCAGCCAGCAGAAGCAGGACTCGCTCAGTTCGGAGGTGGACACCTTGAAGCAGTCTTGCTGGGACCTGGAGCGAGCGATGACTGACCTGCAGAACATGCTGGAAGCCAAGAACGCCAGCTTGGCGTCGTCCAACAGTGACCTGCAGGTGGCAGAGGAGCAGTACCAAAGGCTCGTGGCCAAAGTAGAAGAGATGCAGAGAAACATTCTCAGTAAGGACAACACAGGTGAGCGCTCCCCAGCTAGCTGCACGTCTGCTCCTTAATTCTTGCAGAGCTTCCCAGCATGTCGTGGCCCGACTGGGGGCGGTGGTTATCTCATCCGCTCTGGGGACTGACCTGTTACATTAATATGCTGAGAGGCGTTGTAGTCCCTGCTAATTTATGTACATGCTATCCACTTCTCTAAAGTAAGTATTGTTTTTGGTTGAGTGCATGGAATTCTGTACATTTTTTTGCACATGCAGCAAAGGGGGATGGCTTAGGTCTTAGGAATGGACTTTGGACCCTTGGTAGTTGGTGGTAATGTTTCCACTTATTCTGCCTTCAAAGCTTGCTTATTCCTCCGAATTGCAGGATCTATTTAAAATATTTATTATTTGGGTGCCTGGGTGGCTCAGTCGGTTGAGCGGCTGCCTTTGGCTCAGGTCATGGTCCCAGGGTTCTGGGATTGAGCCCCGCATCTGCTTCTACCTGTGCCTCTGCCTCTCTCTCTCTCTCATGAATGGATGAATAAAATCTTCAAAAAAATTAAAAAAATTAAAAAAATTATTTATTTTTAAAGATTTATTTATTTATTTATTTGAGAGAGAGAGAGAGAGAGCACTAGCAGGGGGAGCAGCAGAGGGAGAAGCAGACTCCCCACTGAGCAGGGAGCCCGATGCGGGGCTGATCCCAAGGACCCTGAGATCATGACTGGAGCCGAAGGCAGATGCATAATGCTTAATCGACTGAGCCACCCAGGCGCCCTCTGTTTAAAATATTTAAAAGCAACACTGCTGTTGTGGATTGGTAAACCTTTATTTTTCCTGCCTTAAGTTCAGTTTTTGCTGTAGCTGGATCCCTGTGGGCATCACCTATGGAATGAGAGTCCAATGGAATAGTGGTTTCAGGGGAACTTGGTGGCAGGCTGTGCACAGAGAACCCGCTGTAGCCCTTCCCTCACGCTGTCTTCTCTTCCTGGGGCATGTACTGCGCACCCCCCCGGCGCCCAGACGAACGCCCTGCCTGCTCACAACAACTCCTTCCTGGCTGACAGGAGGCCGACAGGCGGGGGTGGGACTGGGGGATCGAAGGTGAGCGCAGGTCTTAGACCTCCTAGTGCAGTCTGGGTAGATGAGGTTCCTTTTGCAGACCAGTGGGGGCGGTATAGGGGCCGCTCTGCAGGACCGTGTAAGGCCGTGAGACCAGGTTTCAGATGTGATGACATAAAAGCAAACGTGACAAGGTTCTGTCACAGAGACTTTATCCTGATACTAGAAAGAAAAAAGTGCTAGCTGAGAAACACAACTGTATACTGTTTTCAGTCTTTGAACAATTTCGTGGTACCCGGTCCCTTTAGAAAAGTATAAAATCCAAAAAGTTCTGAGCACCAAAATAATTTTTTAAGTCTGGCTTGCAAGGCCTGACCTGACCAGAGCTTGTTGGGCAGCAGAGCTGACCGGCGCTCACATGGTGTGAACGCCCGCACGTGGAGCTGGGGGTATGTCTGCTGTGGTCTGGACTGGGGTTGCCTTTCTAAAACGCCACCGCTCTGATCTCTGAAACACATCTGGCCCCAAGAATTTCCGATAAGGGATCGTGGATCCTCTTAAACTATCATTTTTGTTCGCTTTTTAAGTTTTGGAAATGGTCTTTAGAATGGTAAGTGTTTTCTTAAATGTTGGGTATAATTTTAATTTTAGAGTGTTTGACCAGTTTTGTTTGTAGTGTGCTTTGGGTTGTTGTGACTTCCCGTCCTCTCCTTGCCTCCCCCTGCCCTCATCAGTGTTAAGAGTTGACCATATCAGCACACCAGTGGGTTTTAGTGGAATTTGCAGCACAGTACCATTCTGTTTATTGACATAGGTGCCATCAGGCCATTTGAAGACCAGAGCCATAGCACCCACAATGGCTTTGTGGGCACACAGTTGACCTCAGTATCCGTGGATCCCTAATTGTGAATTCCCCGGCTCACTCAAATTTGTCTGTAACCCCAAAGCAGTACTGTGCTTGGTCACTTGCGGGCAGGCGCACTCTGTACAGGGTGGGCGTTGCCCAGCACACTCACTCCCAGCTTAGCAGGTGCCCTCTTATGGTTTAGCATCACCGCTTTTGCATCTTTATGCTTTTTAGGGTGGTTTTACTATTTAAAATGAACTCCAAACACTGTCGGGTGTTCTTAGTGCAAGAACTCTGTGATGTGTTTTATGGAGAAAAGAACGTGTGTTAGGTGAGCTTTGTTCAGGCATGAGTTATGGTGCCGTTGGCTGTGAGTTCAGTGTTGATGAATCAACAATATAGATTAAATAAGGTGCCTTTACACATAAACACTCACGAAACAAGGTTGTGTATTGACCAGTTGACCCCCTATTTTTCTCCCGGGAGCCATGGTTCAGCACCCTCGATTGCAGTGTGAATGAGAGTTGGCTGTTTCTCGGTCTCTGCTGAGAGCCTGGCTCTGCTTGGCGTGTCCCTGCAGAGCTGCAGGCTCTCCTGTGTGCAGCAGGTGCTCTGAGCTCTGCTTGCTTGCTTTCAGTGCATGACTTGCGACAACAGATGATGGCCCTGCAGAACCAGCTCCAGCAGGTGCAACTGGAACGAGCAACTCTGAGCAGCAAGTTGAAGGCGTCCCAGGCCGAGATCTCATCTCTGCAGCATGTCCGGCAGTGGTACCAGCAGCAGCTCGCCCTGGCCCAGGAGGCCCGGGTCAGACTGCAGGGCGAGATGGCCCACATCCAGGTATGGCCCCTGACATGTCTCATGTGGAACAGTTGCCTTTTTCCTAAATTAGTTTTTTTTAAAGATTATTTATTTATTTATTTGACAGAGAGGACAAGTAGGCAGAGCAGTGGGCAGAGGGAGAGGGAGAAGCAGGCTTCCTGCGGAGCAGGGAGCCCGATGCGGGGCTCGATCCCAGGACCCTGGGACCATGACCTGAGCCGAAGGGAGACGCTTAACCGACTGAGCCACCCAGGCGCCCCCAAAAGTCTGTTTTTAGATTTTATGGATACAGTTTTGAAAATCTGTTGCCCATTCATCTGGCCTACAGCCCATCCTGCAGAGCAGGCACCCGCCACGACCTCTGACACCAGGAGTCTTTCAGCTTCTGCTTGCACATTTTTAATTCTAAAATCTCTCAGGGACTCCTGTGCCCAGAGCTGTGACGAGTCCCTCCGGGGGATGCCTGCCATTGTTGAATCCGGCTCTCAACCCCATGTCTGCCTGGGTCTCAGCACTCTCGCCCCAGCTCCCGTGCCCTGGTCGCTGCCCTCCTGGGTCGTTTCTGACATGTGTGGAACACAGCATATGTCACCTTCCTGGTTGGAGCTTCGCTTTGCTCCAGCTGCTTGGGCACCAGGTCTTTCCTGCATGAACACTCTGGTTTCTCTCCATTTTGTTGGGGGTGCAGGCATGTCCGCCTCTGATTCTGCATGAATCAGAAGGTTGGGGAGCACGTGACCATCCAGGCCCACGGAGTAACATGGGGTCCTGCGCATCTCCTCGAGGCCTCTCCCTCTGGGCCTGTTATGCTCCAGAGGCACTCAGGATGGTAGGCAAGTGGCTGAAATGCACTTTGCTCCCCATCTTGGTGCTTTGGACTAATTAGATTGCGAGGGTGCCGAATGGTGCCTCGGTCAGCCTCTGTCTTCTTTTTGAATTCAGCTGTAGGTTTTGTTCTCTCTCCCTTTCTTTTTCCCTTTGTCTGGATAAAATATTACAGATTAATTAAAACTTTAGTTCTTAAGTAGAAGATGTAAAATACTAACTCCACCAAATGCTTTTTTATTTTTTTATTTTTTTTCCACCAAATGCTTTTTTAAAAAAATAAACCTAAAGTCTACAAATACATGAAATAGAAATATTCTTAAATTTGTGTTACATATGTTTTAAGCCAAAGGACCATACGGGTAAGCATTTATTCTATTTACAACATACTTGGAAATCACTGTGCAAGTTAATGCAAAGCTTGAAGCAACAGTGCATTTATATGAGGCATAAAATACTTAAAGAAGCTACATTTATGTGTCTTGACATAGACAGAAGTGGAGGGAGGGCCCTGGGCAGTGGAGTCTGAGAGCCATAACTGCTTTTCTCAGATACCTCTGGAACCCAGGGTCAGCATTCCTGATTCGGGTGGTGAAGACATTTCCTCCCTCTTTCCCTGGTAACATAGAATGTTGCCAGGCACATTTAAGAGGCAGGACAGAGCAGGGTGATCGTTTTTCTTTCATTGCCTTAGAACACAATCCCAGTAAATGGCGCCTCCTCCTGCCCTGGGTAGCTTCCATTTAGACCCAAAATTCACAACTTCTGGTCACATCTGGCATCTCAGAGGTCAAGAAGTGTTCACATTAGATCTGGAAGTAATGTGTGGGAAGATCCAGTCCCAGACCTGTGTGCCTTCAGGCTTCTCTTTCCTGAGCCCCCTCTTGAGGCTGGCATGCTGTGCTCGGCACCTTCTGTGTGAGAAACGGTGGGTCAGAGGAGGCCTGACTGTCTGATGGCTGGGGGTCTGACCCCGGGCTGGATTGCTTCTTGGGAATGGCCAAGGTCAGCCTGGCAAGTATCTCAGACAGGCACTGGGAGGGCAGGGCATGACGTGTGTCTGGTCATAGTTCTAGGTCAGGTCATTTTTGGGGCAGATCCCAGTCCCTGCTGTCCCTGCAGCCAGATGAGGCCCCTCATCTCTGGGCTCACACATATACCTTCCCTGGGAACTTTTGTGTAGGTCTTGCTACAAAGTGCGTAGCCTTGGGGGGATTGACCATTGACATCTGGGCTGCCAGCCTGCCCCTCTTAGGCACAAGCAGCCAAGATGGCCCAGGTGTCAGGGTGGGTGACAGGAGGGTGGGCAGTGAGCCCTGTGTGGTGGGGTCCTGGGGAGCAGCTTCCCCTGGGGGCCATCGCTGGGTAAGGACCCTCACCGTCATGGCCTCGGGGATAGGCCAGTCTGCACTTGTGCGTGAGATCTGGCCATTTTCTACCTTGTGGAATTTCTCTCTGAAGGTTGGACAGATGACCCAGGCAGGCCTCCTGGAGCACCTGAAACTTGAGAACGTGTCCCTGTCCCACCAGCTGACGGAAACCCAGCACAGATCCATCAAGGAGAAGGAGCGCATTGCTGTCCAGCTCCAGGGCATTGAGGTGAGGGCTGTGTCATCCCGGGACCACGGCTGTTGGTGTTTGTCTGGGGTTGGGGCTTTGTTTGTTTTGTCACTGGTCAAGGTTAAAGTTTACAAACAAACGTACATAAACATTAACATTATATATATGTATATACATTCAAGTGTCTTTAAAATAATCTTTTGGACAAGTGGCAGTGATTTAAGGTTGGGGATTCTGACCCTGACATTCACCAGAAGCTCATATGTTTCTCTAATCTGAGCTGCTGGTGCCAACTTTTCTTCCATGATGCACGTGGGCCCTGCGCTTGGCTGGTGGTGGGCAGGTGCCGGCATAGCAGGTGGGAGAGGGAGTCAGCATGTTGGATCTCTGAAAGCCTTACAGTAATAAGCATTTTCTTGTCTCTGAGCTCTCAGCTTGTGTCCTCTTTAACCCCCGGCAACTAACCACACGCCTGAGTTAGGACAGGACCAGTGCCTCTGCAGATTATTTCCAGGGTGGTGGGGTGCAGTAGCTTTGACCGGCTCTCCTTAGCTGGGAGACCCCGTATGATTTCTTACCCTCTCTGAGCCTTGTTCCCTTGTTTTATAAAATGAGGATGATAATACGTACTCAACAGACAGGCTTGTCGGGAACTGAAAAGGAACAGTGCACAACATGTGGGCAACATGTGGTCTGAGTTGTGTGCCGAGGATGTGGAAAGTTGGCGTTCTGGCACTGTGGCTGTTCCCCTGTCTCCTGCTTCTCTGCACCCCTGTGTCCTCACAGGTGACGAGGGTGACGGAAGAGCATCATGGCACGGCAGACATCTGCTTCAGGGGCTCAGCACCAAAGAACTGAAAAAACTTTAAGTTATAAACTAATGTTTTTCCCTGAGAAATATACTTAGGTATTGGATCTTATCTACATACTCACACCGTAAAAGAATGTGGTATTTGTCTCCCAGCCCTGCTCTGGTTTCCCATCCCCAACGCAGGGACACACTGCAACCTGTCCTCGCGTTAGAGGCAGCCAGGGAGGGGTCGCTCATCACTTTATCCCATTTCTTAAAGCTGGTTGTCTGCTTGCTTCTCCCTGTGGCCAGGCCCGAGGGCCAGCAGAGAGAACTGTGGGCAGAGGAATAGGTGGGGTGACCTGTCTTTTGGGCAGCAGGAGATCACCAGCCTTGGGCCCCTGTGGCCCTTGACTCCTCTGTGTGCGGGTCGAGGACAGGACAGTGATGTGGATGAGGTTTTCCCACTCACACTGCTGTGGCCTTCAGGTTATCCTGCTTTTTAAAAAACACTGTTTTCTGTGCTTAGGCCGACATGTTGGACCAGGAAGCTGCCTTTGTGCAGATTCAAGAGGCAAAGACGATGGTGGAGGAGGACCTGCAGCGGAGGCTGGAGGAGTTTGAAGATGAGAAGGAGCAGCTGCAGAAGATGGCGGCCTCGGCTGCATCCCTGGAACAGCAGTTGGAGCAGGCAAGCACCCCCATGGCCTCATGTCGCTGCCCTGGTGCCACACACGGCTGTCCTTGCCTGGCTGGCCTCGCTGTGCGCGTCTGTACTGCGGTGTCTGTTGAATTCGGACTGTGGTGTCACATCCACAGTCCGGCTGTGGTTGCAGACCTGGCCGGGTGTTGACTTCTACTGGTATTCTTCCGCACCAGAACTTTCCATCTGGAACACTGACCCCAGAGCGTCTGTCCAGGTGATCTAAGCCCTGAGCGCACACTCTTGGAGCAGGGCAGTCACAGTGAATCGAGTTCCTGTTTTCCAGGTGAATTTGACTTTGCAACAGCGAGACCAGCAGCTTGCGGTGTTACAGCAGGAGCACCTCGACCTGCTGAGGCAGCTCACCTCGACACAGGAGACGTTGCAGGCCCGGGAGCGGTCCCTCGGCGACCTGCAGATGCGCTACGACGAGCTGCTTGCCAGGCTGGAGGAGCTGCAGGGGGAGGCCGCCTCCAGGGACGACACCATCCGCTTCCTGCAGAATGAGAAGATTGTCTTGGAGGTGGCTCTGCAGGCGGCCAGGAGTGGCAGGGAGGAACTGGACAGAGGAGCCAAGCGCTTGGAAGAGGGCACCGAGGAGACATCACAGGTTTTAGAGCAGTTGAGGCAAGAGTTAGCCGTGAAGTCCAGCCAGGTAACACACTTTGCTGCCGTTCTGTCCTGAGTGGAAATCACACGTGTAAGGCCCGGTGCTGGCTCTTGGCTCCTTTGTTTGAGCACCTTGTTTTGTAAACATGGAAGACCGCTTCTAGGGCAGGGCCCAGGGCTCGGATGGGGGGGTAGGGGGTGGACGGGGACCCACACCAGCAAGCCGTGTGCTTCCCAGTAGCTGCTGGGTGTGTAGATGCTGAGGGCTGGGAAACCGAGTCATGCTTGGTGTGTTGAAAGTAATCTACCAGGGAGCACCTGGGTGGCTCAGTTAAGTGTCTGACTCTTGACTTTGGCTCGGGTCATGATCTCAGGGCCATGGGATTAAGCCCCACATCGAGCTCCACACAGTGTGGAGTCCGCTTGTCTCCCTCCGTCTGCTTGTCCCCCCCACCGCCCAACCCCTGCTCAAGTGCACGTGCTCTCTCTCTCTTGCTCTTTCTCAAATAAATAAATAAATCTTTGAAAGAAAGAAAGAAAGAAATCTACCAAGAAACTCCAGTTTCTGTCCACAGATGATGTGGAGCTCAGATGTGGGGAAAGTTGCATGGAACTTTTGGTTTTTCCCTGCCGCATGCCCATAGTGGGGCCTGCTGCACACGTGGCAGGACGGTCGTGTGTCCGTGGGTGAAGGCGGGAGACACTGGAGGGTCTAGGCTTATATGGACATGAGCAGCACGGCACTCCTGGGAGCTGTTATGCTAACAGCGTGATGTGACCTGACGTAGGCACACGTTAACAAACACAGGATGAGGAGGGTGCAGCGTGTGCAGGCAGTGGAGTTTGCCCTCCCTGAACATCAAGGGTGAGGACATCGGTGGCAGGTTTCCTTCTGGGAAGTAAAGTACAGGGGGCCTGTGTTTCCTCTGCATACATTGCCCTGGGCCCAGTCGCTTCTCAGACAGGACACGAAAGCAAGTCGAGAAGCAGTGGGTGCATAGTTTAGGGGGATTGAGGGGACCTTCTGGACGAGGCGGAATTTGGTCTTACTGTTGGCTCAGTAAGAGGGGCGCCAGCTGATGCCTGAGAAATGCAGTCATGGGGTCTGGCGCACTCTGTCACACTGGAGTCTTGCCTGTGTTGTTGTGCAGTCTCTGGAGGTTACAGTGGGGACCGAGATGATGATCCTACAAACAGAGGGAGGCGGGAATGGTGGCTGGCCTCCCTGTCTCCCCAGGAGCAGAGTGGCCTCAATAAGGTTTGTGTGCGCATGTCCTTTGTAGGTGGAGCACCTACAGCAAGAGGCCGCCACCCTGAAAAAGCAGACACAGAAAATAAAGGAGCAGTTTCTTCAACAAAAGGTAAAAACGTGTTGTTGGTTTTCTTTATACGCAGCAAGTGTGTGAAAAAAATCACATGTGATTTAATCATTTCTCTAGAACAAAAGTGGTCAAGAGGAAAGCAACATTTAGATCCCCTCAGTTTTTTTTTTGTTTTGTTTTGTTTTGTCTTGTCTCAAAAGGCACTGATCATTAGCTCTGCTCTCACCCCTCCTATTTTAAGGTCTCAAGTCAGGATGCAATTTCAGAATAGGGTTGGCATCTGTGATGTGATCTTGGCCTTTTGTCACATCAGAGAGCGCATGCTGGGCTATGACAACAGACTGACTTCTGTTAACATGTCTTTGAAAAATTAGACCCTGATCTAGTGTTGAAGTAAGTCCTGGCTCATGCAAAGGACGGGGGCTCACATTTTATGTGAGTGAAGCCAGTGTTGGCTCTTGGAGGAATGAATGCGAAGTGTTGCTAGCACCAGGGTTTTGAGAAAGGTCGACCCAAGGGAGAGCTAGAAGTGGTTCTAAATTTTGTTGCTGGGACGCAAGCCGGGGGAGGACCCAGCATAAGCCTGGCAGTGTGGCTGAGGGGAGAGCACTCGCCAGGTGACACCTGTGCGCAGCACCCAGACGTGTTCAGGTGCGTAAGGTGATGCTGTGCCTCAGTTGATGGTGTCCTGGAGTTGGTGGAATATGTTATTTGTAGTCCAAAACACGTTATGCCACGGCTTAGTGGCGAGCATTTTTGTTGAAGGAGACTGCGCTTTGTGCTGGCTGCAGCCTCTCTCTTGTTGGGCAGGTGATGGTGGAGGCCTACCGGCGGGACGCCACCTCCAAGGACCAGCTCATTGGTGAGCTGAAGGCCACGAAGAAAAGGCTTGACTCAGAGCTGAAGGAGTTGAGGCAAGAGTTAATTAAACTTCAAGGGGAGAAAAAGTCTGTGGAGGTAGAACACGTGCGCTTGCAGAAGGAAGTGTCCCATGTCCATCAGCAGATGGCCGACCTCGAAGGGCATCTCCAGTCGGTGCAGAGGGAGCGCAACGAGATGGAGACGCACTTGCAGGTCTGGGATACATTTGACTTTGAGGTTCTGCCAATCATGCCCAGGGGTTTCTTGTGCAGGGTGGAGGGCAGAACAGCCTGGAAGAAGTCCGTCCTAGAGCTCCTGTCTTGGAAGGACGGGCAGACGGACAGGTTCCCCCTTGGAGGCAGCACGGGGCTGGAGGCCATCAGCTGTTCATAGTTCACCCCAGCAGGTGCTGGGAGGGGCCTGGGGGGCTCTGGGAGGGGTGGTCCCTCGGGGACTGTGGGCAGAGCCACAACCAAAGGCTGACCTGGGCGTTCCCTCCAGCACTCTGGACCGCTCTCAAGTGATTGCCTATACAAAGAGCAAACCCCTGTCAGGGTTCTCTCCAGAGCCCTTGTCCTTGAGGGTGTCCCTGAACCGGCACCGTTGAGCCACGAGGAGCCTGGTCCTGAGAAGCAGGCTGCAGGGGGAGGACTTTGCTCTCCTCACTTTGTCTTTTCTTCCCTTCTTCTGAAGTCTTTGCAGTTTGATAAAGAGCAGATGGTAGCTCTTACAGAGGCCAACGAGGTGCTCAAGAAGCAAATTGAAGAGCTACAGCAAGAAGCCACCAAGTAAGTGGACCCGAGGCGTGTGCAGGCAGAAGGGGTGAGTGCGGGCAGCCTTGAGCTCTGTGGGGGACACACAGCAGCCGAGGGCCAGGGGACTCTGAACACTGTCAGTTGAGCCCTTGCCAAGGAGAGGGGACACAGGATGTACTTCTAGGCAGCCAGGGAAGTCAGATTCCAAAGTTAAGGCTGGAGAGGGGATCCCGGCATGGTTTGGTGGCTGCCTGTGGTTAGTAGGCACTCCCCCTGTGTGCGTGTTCCATGCCAGGTGAGTGTGGCAGTGCCTGCCCCTCCCAGTTCCCCCAGCAGGGCTGACGTGCTTGCTGTGCGTATACACGGCAGGTAGCCTTTTGGGGCCTTTAACCCCCATGGCATGTCTTGTGTCCTGCGTTCCTTTACTTTCGTCAGCTGGAGATTACTTGTGAGCTGCGTTTTCGAGATTATTATTGCTATTCAAGAAGAGCACTGGAAGCGTTTGGAAGGACAGCAGTATTCTCTGATTTTCATGAGATCATTTAAGCGGCTCTGAGAAGGGAGCAGGGCAGAAGTAGGTGCAGTGCTGGGCTCTGTGAGGGCAGCCGACACCAGCCCCACATGCTGGATCTGGGAGGAGCGGCAGCTAGCTGGTGTGGGGCTGGGGGCGGGCAAGGATGAGTCTTTCCTTGGTGCTGGTGCCAGGACATCTTGTTGGAAGTGAGTTCAGACTCCTCTGTCCTGCCCGCCACACCCTAGGGCCATCACAGAGCAGAAGCAGAGGATGAAGCGGCTGGGCTCAGACCTGAGCAGCGCTCAGAAGGAGATGAAGAGCAAGCACAAGGCCTATGAGAATGCGGTGGGCATCCTTAGCCGCCGCCTGCAGGAGGCCCTTGCAGCCAAGGAGTCGGCAGACGCAGAGCTGAGCCAGCTGAGAGCCCAGGTGGCTGGCGGTAGCAGCGACCTCCCTCTGCACGTGGGTAACCCGTCTGCTATCGGCCAGGCTGCCAGTGGTGCAGACTCAGTACTGGGGACTTGATGTGTTACAAACATTTGAGAGTCTGGAGACCCGGGGCAGAACTAGGGTGTAGGCGGCCTTTCTGTAAAGTATTGTGTGCTAGCGACATGACCAGGGGCTTAAACACTGCACAGATGTTCTCTCGATTCACCCCTGCTCGCCTGTGCACCGTCGCCTCCTCCCTCAGCCTCCCTGCCCACTCCTGTCCTTCTCCACACCCCGTCCGTGTCTGGGAAAGGATTCCCTGAGTGCCCGTGTGGGAGGCTCGGGGGGAAGTATTTGGAGAGTCCAGGAAAGCTTTTTGAAGGAAAGAATCTTTGAAGTGGTCTTGAATAACGGGGGCTGCATCTCAGCAGGGGAGTGCTGTGCCGGGCATTCAGGAAGACCTGTGCTGTGCATCTCGAGGGCACGGTGGGCCCCTGGGGGGTGGGCTGGTGTGAGATGGAGGGCTGGCTGGTGGCTCGGGCAGCGTGAGACCTCACTCTTCTGTGGTGGGACACTGACGGGCGGTGGCTGAGCACAGCTGAGGCCAGGGGAGGCTGTGTCAGGGAGACCATGTGGGCTGTCCTGCAGTAGCTGAGATGGCCGGGCCATGTGAAGGCTGCATGCCACTGATGGCATGTGGTCACTCAGGAGGGGAAGCTGTGAACCAGCGGGGCAGGCCGGGGCCAGTGGAGGGAGCAGCACCCAGTGTCCAGCTTGAGGGTGGTTGCAGCTGGCTCTGCTGACAGGAATCGATCGGGGAAGGCAGTCGGTGTGGGCCAGAGTGGGCCGGGAGTGGCTGTAAATACTCAGACTCGAAGGAACAGGGACCCTGCATGTGGTGAGGGGCCTGGGCTCTGCTCTTCCTGCTGTTATATCATGAGGCAGAAGCCTTTTGCTCTGGATTATGTTTTAGGATAAATGGGCAGATGTCCTCCTTGAGGAGGATGGAGGATGGGCCCTGGGCTTGCAGGACCTTTTTATTCCTGTGATGAAGGCTGCCAGAGCCCCCCGAGTGTCCCCAAGTTCTTGGTGTCCCACTCCCTGCCAGCTTTGGCCAGCATCAAGTTTTACCCGACTGCATTAATTTGCTTTTTGTTTATTCCTACCCAACATTTCGCTTATGTTTAGCGGTCGTGTTTCTTACTAAATGAAGTTTGTCTTGATCTTCTCTCCGTGTAAGAGTTTATAAGTGGGAAGCCATCATAGCATGTTTTCTTACCGAATTAGGTAAACTTAATACTTCTTTTACCTAATTAATTTATAAAATAGTGGGAGGGGGAAATTTTATTAAGTTGCAATTTCCCTTCAACCTAGAAGTATTTCTCTGCTTCTTTGGCTTCCCCAGTGTCAGGGATCGACTGTAAATGCCCCGGGGAGCCTGTTGCCCCCTCCCCCCCACCGCCCCGCTGCACTGCAGCCTCAGAACCAGAGTCCTGGATTGGTCTGTGCTTCACCACTTGTAAAATGGGCCCTTCGGCAGGCTAGTCACCTTCTTGATCCTCAATAAAATGAGGCCAAAATGGAATAAACAGTAGAACCTCCTTGGTCAGAATGGCTCCGTGAAGAAACACACATGAGGTGATTAGAGTAGTGGCTGCACCCCGCAGCAAGCGTGAGCGTGGGCGCACACGTGGGGTGTTAGTCCTACCGTGCCTGGTACGGCTTGCTTGCCACAGGTAGTAATTTATCGTTCTTCTTTGTGAGTCAGTTTTTCTGTATTTTCAAAGCATTTAACTCGGGGGAGGAAGTATGGTAAGACCGCAGCGCCTGTTGAGCATGGTCAGCAGGCTTATGCGGTGGGTGCGATGCAGCCCTGCAGGGAGGGAGGTGAGCGCCTGTCACATGCCATATTGAAACCCATGACCAAATCCACCTTCCCGTCCTGGCTGTTAGGAGAGAATCCAGGCTCTGGAGGCAGAACTGCAGGCTGTCGGCCACAGCAAGACGATGCTGGAGAAGGAGCTCCAGGAGATTATCGCACTGACCAGTCAGGAGCTGGAGGAGTACCGGGAGAAGGTGCTGGAGCTGGAGGACGAGGTAGGCTGAGCTTCGTCCTCACACAGCTGGACGATCCTCACACAGCTGGATGGGCTTCACTGCCCCCGTGCAGCTCAGGTGCAGAGAGAAAGGCTCCTGGAGAGGCAGAACCTGGCCTGTGGCTCAACCTGCACTGTGCTTCTATGCGCCGTCTGACCGCTTGTCTGGGTCCCTCTCACCGCCCCCCCCTTATTGCTAGGCTCCCCATATGCTCTCTTGAACACCCCTCTGGTGTGGTGGTTGTCAGAGTGTTAGGATTAAGATGTCCCCAGTAAGAACACTCTGGTTGCAAATAATGAGAAAACCTGTTCTTTAAAATAACTTCACGTAACTCTTGGGCCCAGAGAGGCTGTGGCTTCAGATGATGGCTCTCCACGGGGTCCCAGGCTCTCCAGGAGAAAGCTGGGGGGCTGGGAGCTGGGGTGTGCTGCATCTGCTGCAGTCCTGGGGTGGTCTGTTGGAGCTTCTTGGTGCAGTTGTTGTGTTTCCGATGTGGGGGAGCTTAGCTCCATTAGCCAGAATAGGTAATTATATAACTTCACAGTGGTTTTGATCTGTTTCAGCTTCAAGAATCCAGAGGCTTTAGGAGGAAGATAAAGCGCCTTGAGGAGTTGAATAAGAAGTTGGCCCTTGAGTTAGAGCATGAGCGAGGGAAGCTTACAGGCCTGGGGCAGTCCAACGCGGCTCTGCGGGAACACAACAGCATCTTAGAAACAGCTTTGGCCAAGAGGGAGGCAGACCTGGTTCAGCTGAACCTCCAGGTACTCAGACCCTTTGCCGGACGCAGGGGACTCGCTGCGGGATAGGTGGCTCTCAGTCTGGTGCATGTTGCCTCACACAGCTGTCCCAGCCGCCCGCAAGCAGAGGGCTGCCCCGTCACAGACACTCAGAACAGGGAGGATCTGGTGACGTCTGAAGCCCACCTTGCAGCTCTGTGGGGTGGGGCAGAGCTGGGAGCTCCTAAGGCCCCCTTTACCGAGCTGTGGAGGCACTGTGCCCCGCCCGTTAGCTTCCTGGTGGGTAGGGGACTCCCTGCTCAAGCTGGTCCCACTGTTCATAAGAGGCTCTTCCCTGTGTGACGCAGAGCTGGGATTTGAACCTTGGTGGGGCTCTCTCTCCGGACCCTGTTCTCGGCTCCAGCTGTGCAGCCTCTCTGGGGCTTGGGGAGGAGGCCTGGCACTTCAGGGCCATCTTCGAGGGGCAGTTAGCAGCCAAATCCAGCCCCCATCTCAAATTATCCAGCCATTAGAGAGCTTATAAACTTTTATTTGTCACTGGTTCCCACCCTTGCCATAATCTGGTGGCCTCATCCATCTGCATTACCTGCCTTACCAGGGAAGTATTTGTGTTTCCACGCTCCGATTACAGGCAACCTTTGGGTTCCTTGCTCTTTGCTTGAATACGGCCATATGACGTTACGGCCATCTCAGACTTCATGTTCTCCAGAGATGGAACTCTCCCTCCTTCGCTACCTTGTGCGCTTGTCAGTAATGCACTGTGGTGTCGTGTGCCGCCATCCTGCCAGGTTCCCCGCGTGGCCCTGGGGCCCCACAGGCCTTCGAAATCTGAGTCCTTCCACACTCACTGCTTCGCTGGTGTGCCATAGGTGCAGGCAGTCTTGCAGCGGAAGGAGGAGGAGGACCGCCAGACGAAGCAGCTCGTCCACACCTTACAGGCTGCGTTGGAGCGAGAAAAGGCCAAAGTGCACAACCTCAAGGAACAGGTGTGTGACTAGCTTCCCACTAGTTCTAAATTGCAACTTCAGAGCCTGTCAGAATGTACTTTTTCTAAAAACTGAGTATGTGTATGCTTGACGCCTCACTTCCCTTCCAGGAATTTATTGTACGGATATCTTTGCTGATGTGTTCTTTTTTTTTTTTTTTAAAGATTTTATTTATTTGAGAGAGAGAGAGAATGAGAGACAGAGAGCATGAGAGGGAAGAGGGTCAGAGGGAGAAGCAGACTCCCCGCTGAGCAGGGAGCCCGATGCGGGACTCGATCCCGGGACACCTGAGCCAAAGGCAGTTGCTTAACCAACTGAGCCACCCAGGCGCCCTTTGCTGATGTGTTCTGAGAATGATGTCATCACAGCCTTGGTGACAGTGAGCAGCTGGAGGGGGCCCTGATATCCATCCATAGGATAGTGGACTTGGATTAACCCAGATGCAGTCATATGGGCCTAAGATACATGCACAGAGCCATGTAGAGACATATTTCCTGGAGAACAATGTTGCACACGTAGTGTTGAGTTAAAAAAGCAAACTGCGGAACAATAGATGACCCCATTAATGTTAAAAGAGCAATGGAGAAAGAAGGTTGCATGCACTCTTTGCCGTTTCCTGGCTGGCTCCTTTCCATGCTCAGGTGTTCACCAGTGCATCAGGTCAGTCTTCCAGCAGAGAGGCCTGTCCCGCTGCCCCTGTGAGCTGGAATAGACCTCAGCTCCTCGGTGCTTCCCACCATGGTGCCGTGTCTGTTACTCCTCATCAGAACATAAGCTTCCTGGCTTGAGGGCCGTGACTCATTTACCCTCATGTCCCCAGTGCCTGGCACCGAAGAGATATTCAGAATGTGTTTGCTGTGCTCAAGGGTGCATGTCACATCCTTTAAAAATGTTTCTGTGATGATATAACAGGTAGAAAGAAAGAAATAGTTCTTCATTTTTTTGGGTGAGACAGTAAAATACTCTCTTAAGATAGTACAGTTTTAAGATCTGTTAAGAACGTGTTACTATGGGGACACCTGGGTGGCTCAGTCGGTTGAGTATCTGCCTTTGGCTCAGGTTCTGGGATCGAGTCCTATGTTGGGCTCTGTGCTTAGTGGGGAGCCTGCTTGGGATTCTCTTTCCCTCTGCCCCTCGCCCCCCACATGCATGCACACTCTCTCTCAAAAGAAGAATTTGTTACCATGAACAGATCCCCGTTTGCCTTGACTGTGGTTGGTTTTTATACCTTGTGTGGAGTTGAGCTGAGTCAGCTACCCTCCCTACTTTTCTACCCCCCAATTCCTATCTTTTGCTCACTTACTAATTTTATTCTCCCTTTAATGAAGTTGAATTTTATTCTCCCTTTATTCTCCAGTTAGCGGGACTGACAGAGCTAGACTCCGCCGATTGACACTTTCAGTTCCTTCATTCCGTGTCTGCTTGGAAAGGGATATTTCTTTTTTCTTTTTTTTAAAGATTTTATTTACTTATTTGACGGAGAGAGAGACAGGAGAGAGGGAACACAAGCAGGGGGAGTGGGAGAGGGAGAAGCAGGCTTCCCGCGGAGCAGTGAGCCCGATGCGGGGCTTGATCCCAGGACCCTGGGATCACGACCTGAGCTGAAGGCAGCTGCTTAACGACTGAGCCACCCAGGCGCCCGGGATATTTATTTTTTCTAAGTATGATATTAAACAGTACACAGAGATATAGTTAGAGCAATTTTATAGTGTAAGGAAATTTGTGAATAGAAGTGCTGCGGAAAATGATGGATATGTGACCTTCACTTTTTTTTTTTTTTTAAAGGGCAGTAACTGTGAACTGTCCTCATTTATGTCTCTAAATGCATTTCATGAAATTATCTGGACTGTTTGAACAGTACATGCTAGTAGTAAAAAAGTCATAAAGATTGAAATACAGATCATCTTGAATTTGCACCTAGTGATAAACCACTGTTAACATCTTCTGTTGGAGTTTTGTTTCCTTATTTATAAGAGTTTTTTCTATATTTGACTGTCGTAAGTTATAAATATTTTTATTAAACTTTTATTTTTTTAAGTTTTTTTTAAAGATTTTATTTATTTGACAGAGAGCGCAAGCAGGGGGAGCGGGAGGCAGAGGGAGAAGCAGACTCCTTGCCAAGCAGGGAGCCCGATGTGGGGCTCGATCCCAGGACCCTGGGATCATGACCTGAGCTGAAGGCAGACGTTTAACTGACTGAGCCACCCAGGCGCCCTTTATTAAACTTGTAAAAAATGAAGCCTTGCTTGTGCGGTTAGATAAGAAAACCGAGTTACTGGAAAGGAAACTGGAATATTTTGTTATATTCTGAGAACTTGCTGGTCTCCTTGAGAGACTATCATTCATCATGAAAAGACTACTGTGTCATAAATGGATAGTAATCAGTAGCTTTACTGCTGTACTTGGTATGCTGGAAGGCTATGTTCCTCCCCAAAAACATGAACTAGGACTGGATTTAACAAGAAATAGACATATATACTTGAGGACGATCGAAACTGTTTAGACCAAGAAAACCTTGCGTGCATTTGTTCGTTCAACAGATCCTGGCGGCTGGCTGTATGTCGCCTGCGTGCCAGGCGTGTGTTAGGGCTTCGGTCCTCTGGGAGCTTAAGAAGCTTTGGAAGAAACAACTGCAGGAGCCGCTGGGACTCGGGTGGGGTCGGCGGTAGCTCTCCTCGCAGACATCACATTGGGCGCGTTCTGTGTGGTTCTTGCCTCTGTCCTTGGTGACGCGGGTTTCTGTTCTTATAGGTTGCTGCTGCCAAAGCGGAAGCAGGACATAACCGCCGCCACTTCAAGGCTGCCACCCTGGAGCTGAGTGAGGTGAAGAAGGAACTGCAGGCCAAGGAGCAGCTGGTGCAGAAGCTGCAGGCTGAGGCCGAGGGTCTCCAGTGAGTGCCAGGCGGGCAGAGGGCTGGGTCAGTGCCACGGCCGGGGACAGACGGGCAGGAGCGCCACCATGTCTTCCAGTTAGGACCTTCAGCGCGTTCAGGTCACCTGGGTTTTAGCAAATCTCTGCGCACTCTGGAGGCAAATCTAAGAAGGAGAATGTATCCAATCCCTGTCTTAGGAAACCTGCAGCTCAACTCTGAAATTTCCGGCCTGACATGGCTGTCCCCACTCCACACCTGAGGGTCCTTCACCAAGAACAGAGAGCCCCGTGTGAGGGGCACGTGTCCCGAGGGCTATGCCCCACCACCGAGGTTCACTGCAGCCTCCAATTAGGGCAGCCTTGAGTTGAGCACATGCAGGGGTGCGTGTTGGGAGCTTTTCTCCCATTGTAATCCATAAAACGGGCTAGCAAAATGTCCTTCCCAGGGGCTTTTGTGAGGATTCATCACGAGAGAGCACCACAGTGCTCCTAGAACAGTCCCTGCCCAGAGTGGGCAGTGTGTGAGTTTCTGTCACCCCGATGGATAACGTTCAACTGAGCACACTTTGTGGTGGGGTTAGGGTGCTGTGATTTCATGCTTCCTTGTTTTTACGCTAGGATTCAAGAGGGGAAACATTCCCAGGAAATAGCACAGTTCCAGGAGAAGCTGGCGGAGGCCCGGACCCAGCTCCAACTCCTGCAGAAGCAGCTAGACGAGCAGCTGAGCAAACAGCCTATAGGGAACCAAGAGGTGACCTGCCTGGGAGGCTTTGCATTTCCACTTAGCAGGACTGACAGAGCTAGACTCTGCTGATTGACACATCAGTTCCTTCATTCCCTGTCTGCTTGGAAAGGGATATTTATTTTTTCTAAGTATGATATTAAACAGTACTCAGAGATATAGTTAGAGCAATTTTGTAGCGTAAGAAAGCCACTTTAAAATTCTTTTGGTCATGTGACTTTCTCCCTCGTCTAGATGGAAAATCTCAAATGGGAGGTGGATCAGAAAGAAAGAGAAGTCCAGTCCTTGAAGCAGCAGCTGAACTTGACTGAGCAGCAGAGTAAGAAGGAACTGGATGGAATACAGCAGTTATCACAGGTATGTGCTGTGTAAAGGCCCTGGGGCAGAAAGTCAGAGACCGCACCTCACAGGTGCTAAGTGCATAACGTGAGTTACCCTCAAACCGAATGCTTCCACCAAACCGTTTTGCAGACATTATCCGTTTCAGAAAGAAGGCCAGGTCACACAGCTGAAGGAGGCCAAGCCCTAGTGCTACTGTACGCCCTGGGCTGAGCTCTGTGAACTGTACCAGGAATGGGATCTGAGGAAGCCCAGTCAATGAGGCAGTATATGTGAAAAGTTCACCGGGCTGTGATACACTTTTCCACAAAGAAATCTGTGTGCAGGCTTGACCACTTGCGAAAAGGATCAGGAAGAGAGCTCTCGCCAGGATTCCTACTTGTGAATGGCTGGCTTGAGTAACAGGATTGATTCATATTCTTTCTTCCTAATGGTGAGGCTTATTCCAGTAGTTGACCTTGGAATGAATTTATGTATGTATGTATGTGTAGATTTTATTTATTTATTTGACACGGAGCGAGAGCGGGAACACAAGCAGGGGGAGTGGGAGAGGGAGAAGCAGGCTTCCTGCTGAGCAGGGAGCCTGATGCGGGGCTCGATCCCAGGACCCCGGGATCATGACCTGAGCCGAAGGCAGACGCTTAACGACTGAGCCACCCAGGTGCCCCTGACCTTAGAATTTAAATGGACTCTTGGGATCCATTATAGACAGTGGACATGGGAATATTGCTGGTCCTTGGCAGAGGCTCTGAAATTTGGGTAAGGACGTTGAGGATGTGACTGTAATGGGACGCCGCCCAGCCCAGACCATGGTGAAGAAATAGGCTGGCGTGGCAGCACCGCGTACAGCATCATAGAAAAGTCGGTGTTGGGCGCCTGGGTGGCTCAGTTGGTTGAGCAACTGCCTTCGGCTCAGGTCATGATCCTGGAGTCCCGGGATCGAGTCCCGCATCGGGCTCCCTGCTCAGCGGGGAGTCTGCTTCTTCCTCTGACCCTCTTCCCTCTCGTGCTCTCTATCTCTCATTCTCTCTCTCTCAAATGAATAAATAAAATCTTTAAAAAAAAAAGAAAAGTCGGTGTTACGTTTCTAGCCCCTTAGACTTGTGACATACAAGCTAAGATCTTAGCAGCACATGTAAGATCCTTTAGTTTATAAAAACGTGTGACTTCCCTTTCTTTAGAATATCAAAGCTGAGTTGGAGATGGTGCGGGAAGATCTGTCCCTGACCCAGAAAGATAAATTCATGCTTCAAGCTAAAGTGTCAGAGTTGAAGAACAACATGAAGACTCTGCTCCAGCAAAACCAGCAGCTCAGGCTGGACCTGCGGCGTGGCGCAGTGAAGACGGTACTCAGACTCTGCACCTCCGTCAGGTTCCCTGGGCCCAAGGCACCCCTGCTGGGCAGATGGCTGGGGTACCTTCTAGTTACTCAGATAGGAAGTTTTGTGTAACCAACACTGAGCAGCTACTGTGTGCAGTAAAGGGTGCTGGAGTTTTGTGCTTGGCAGCAGGCCAAACCGTTTTATCTTGGTGTTTTTTTCAAGAGCTTTTTGCTTTTTATGAATTCAGGTATCATTTTGTTGTAATACGCTTTATAAGCCATATGAGGGCTCGTTTGCTGGTGTTCACAAGAGCCCCTGGCCTGGTAGGTGAGCCAGCTGGGGCCAGTGATGCCAGATGGGCTTGGGGGCCTGGGGAGCCCCGCCCAGACCCTCTGTACCCAGCATTTGTTTCTCTGCTCAGGCCATGTAAATATTCTCCAGGTGCAAAGAAATCCCTCAGACTCAGAGGTTTATTTAGCACTGTTTGGCTATCTGTGGAAAAAGCTTGAAGTTCTAGAAAGGGGAGTTGTAGGAGTTAAAAATTGACTTATTTCTTAGGGATATGCAGGGTCAAGGCTGTGGTCTTTTGTGGAAAGCCCCCACACTTCCCATAGGGGTGTTTTCAATTGTGATTTAGGTCGTCCTCCTGAGTACCCAGCATTGCGCTGTTTGTGCATGGTCACGTGTGTTAGGAAGAAGCTCACCCATTCAGCTAACATTCCCTGAACCCTGTGGCTGTCAGCTCTGCCAGCCTGGAAGCAGGGGGGCATGCCTTCCCCGAGGGCCCATTGTGAGCTAGGATGCCCTCTGGTAGCACTTGTGATGTTCAGGGACCAATAAAGGGAAGGTGTGGTTGGTGTCAGCCTCCAAGTGAGAGGGCTCTAACCATGTGCTTTTAAAAACAGAGAAAGGAACTGAAAGGCGAGGCCAGCTCTTCTGGCCCCGTAACGCCAGTGAAGATCCCTGACTGCCCTGTCCCGGCCTCCCTGCTGGAGGAGCTGCTGAGGCCCCCACCTGCCGTGAGCAAGGAGCCCCTCAAGAACCTCAACAGTTGTCTCCAGCAGCTAAAGTATGAACTGTGTTCTGTGTTCTATCTCACTTGGTCTTTAAAAATAGATTGCATGTTTAACTTGGAAGAATCCTGTTGCCAGCCCTACGTGCCCCGAAGAGGCTGGGCAGGTCTGTGCTATGTGGGGTCACTCGGGCCCTCAGTCCCTGTCATATGGGAGGACTGCCTGGAGCTAGGTGACCCTTAGGAACCCCACACATAGCTCAAGGTTTTGCTCCCACCAGCCTGAGGCCAGTGTTTGCAGGGCATGGCCCTGTGGGGACATCTTTTTGACCCTGTGAATGGAGGCCATGTGTAGGCCCTCAGTGCTGTCTCGTCCACCTTCTCCCTGAGCAGAGGCCCGTGTGTGCAGACCTCTGCACCTGTAGAGAAAAATGCTGAGCCCCATAAATCGTGTGGCCCCCCCTGGGTGCTGCTTCCCAAATAGACGGGTTCTGTCAGCCACCTGAAGGTGCCGCAGATGAGCAGACTGCTGTCTGAGTCAGGCTTGTTAGGATCTGTGTTGGAGATGACCAGTTGCCTCTTGGGGAAGTAACAGCATCGTTTCTGGCTCTTGTTTGACTGGCCTGCATTCCTTGCTTCCCCTGTCTGCCCAGGCAGGAGATGGACAGCCTGCAGCGCCAGATGGAGGCACATGCTGTCACCGTGCACGAGTCACTGTCCTCATGGACTCAGGGGGATCCCGCCGCCAGTGCTGCTCCCCTGGGAGATCACGCCAACCCCAGGGGAGATACAGAGCGACACAGTCAGTGCAGGGTCTCCAGAGAGGCGCTTGGAACAGCGGCCGCCGAGCACCCCCACTCCGAGTGCTTGTAACTACCCAAAGGAATATTCTTTTATCAATATTATTTATTTGACTGTTTGCTCTGTGTTTTTCTAAGAGATGAAGTTTAAATTTTGCATCTGCCTTTTCAAGGAGTAGAAGAACTGAACAAGAGCCAAGGATTAGAGAAATAGTCATTTGCAGATCACAACTAGCTTTTCCCATGAAATGACCAAATGCTAGCAACCTAGTTTAGATCTCAGTGAGTTTTTGAATGTGTCTAAAGGGTTACTTGTGGGAGGAGGTCTCTGTCGAGGGACTGTAGCTGCGGCCGCCTGAGGGTGACGCCAACCAGTGGCCATCAGTGCAAACGCTGCATGACTGGGTCCTGCTTCTCTCTTTCCAGATTCCGTGAGAGCTTTACCTCCCTGCAGAAATGAAACTTTATTTACACCTTTGGTTTTTATTTTATTTTCAATAGCTATCTCACCGTAGGATGTGTATATAAATACTGAAAATCATAAGCTAATCTTTAAAAAGTGTATTCCATGTTATTTAAGAATGACCTGAATTGTCTTTTTATTGATCGCCTTTTGAAAATCTGCTGTCAGGAAGTAACGTACATGTAAGATTTTGGGATGTCAGGAAATTATATTTTAAGAAATATAATTATTTTATTTACTGTACCTTCTAAAACCAAATATTCTTGGAGCGAAAAGGTTTTTTGTTTCAGTTTCACTTTATTTTTGAGAGCCTTTTCCTAAGTGCACACCCCACCCCATCTGACCCTTGACCCTGCATGGCCTCACTCACCTTGGCTGTCTCCTAGGCAGGCCTGGCGGCCATAAGGACACCAATCACCATGTGCTGGCCTGACGTGGGAGATGGTTGGGGAGGGGTCACAGGAGAGGAGGGGAGAGAGGGACCTAGGCTCCCTGCAGGGCTCTGAGCCAGGCGCAAGGCTTCTCCAGGCCTCCTCCCTCCGGTCCCCACCACCCCGGGCCCACATGAAAATACGTCCATCGGGGCCTGTGTGGTCATCGTGGTCATCAGGGGACATGCTGAACTCATTGTGGTGACAGTCTTCAGAAGGTCCTGTAACCTCTCATCTGGAGGGTTTTCTAGAAGGGGCAGGTCAGCTGTGTGAGAAGGCAGTGGAGGCCTCCCGAGTTCTCTTGTTGGTGAGAGCCTGATTTGGAAGCAGGCTCCCTGAGCGTGGGAGATTTACTTGACTGTCTATGACCCAGGAGGGTTATAACTTTGTCCCCTATTGGCCAAGAAATCTAAGCTGATAGTTAACTGTTGTCAGAGAAGAGAGGCCCCCGGTGCAGATCTGCTGGTCTGAAGATGAAGTTGGAAGTGTTACTGATGAGGTCAGATATGCTTGTGTCAACTTACTACTTACATCTCTTTTGTGGAGAAAACGGTTTGGTATCTTTAAGCTGTTTGTGTTCTCTTACAGTATTAGAAGGTTAATTGATAAGATAGCATTAACCACGAAGATGCTTAGTGTTTAAAAAAAATTCCCTAGCAAGTATTGAAACTTCTGAAATATGTATATCACTTGTACAGGGTTAATCTTGAAATAATACTTGAAGACTTCATTATAAATATATCCTATTTTCATCTTAAGTTGGAAATCGTTTTTGACAAAATTGTTTTTGTACCATTAGAAAAGAAAAATCGTAATTTACATTCTTATTTATTTTGGGTGTTTTATCCTCAGTTTTAATTTTAAAACCAAGACATGACACTCAGCCTCATGCTGTGGCTACTTTCTCACTGCTGCTTATTGGAGGTCTCCCAGTGAAAGCCGGTCACTGTGCATTTTTTATCAGGAAAGGGTAAACGGATTCTGAATAATCCTCAAGTGAAAGCAGATTTGTGTTCCTCACCCCATTTCCCTCATGTCTTACTTGCCTGCTGCGTGTGGGCGTGTGTCTGCACCTGCGGGCTTGTGCGGGCCTGCAGTAGCCGCGCCGCCCCCTGCTCTCCCGTTGTCGTCCTGTGCCACCGTTGTGCTCACCCCATCTTTCAGTTCTGTCAACACCCAGCCTGCCTTTGGTCTGACCTCCCTGGCTGTCCCCACGCACTGTCATGTTTCTTGCGTGGCCTGCAGCTCCTGACCTGGGGCCCTTTTGTTCAAGCTGACACCACCTTTAGGCTTCTTAACAAGTCACTTGGAAGAGGAAGCTGGACTTTGAAATCACCTGCTTCTGATTTATTGAGGGTTATTATTATTTTTTTAATCTCTAAGGGACTTGATTGGCATTTCTACCTCCCAGGCTACATTCTGCAGTGAATATCATTTGAAATATTCTGTTTGTGGGCAGAAGTGGGAATTTGGAATTTACTCATGGAAAACAACAGTCCAGTCCGGATTATTTATAGGAACAGGCTTGCTGTTACAGTATGTTTGTGTATATTATTCATCCTGTGTGATATATACTGTATTTCTTGTTTTTCTTATGTTCGAAAAAACTTACTGCAGTGTGGGTATCACTGATTTTTCCGTGGAACACATTGGATAGATGCCAGAGATCTTACGGATTTCCATGGTTTTGTTCTACTGTTTGGAAGGTATAACAGGCAAGGATGTGACAGGGTTTGTCTCTGGCCTGGGCCCGGGTCATGGGCGACCTGCTGGGAAGGTTCTCATTATACTCTTCCTTAGTCTGAAGACTTTTCTTGTTGTAGGGTTACTCACTGCAGAAGCCACGGCATATAGTCCTACTCCTATGAGTAACTTTTTAAATGGGAATGAGATGTCCTGTGTAAAGATTTCTAGTAGTGAAAGGGACCAGTATGTCCTGGAGCCTTCCTCAAGGACCCCAGTGATGTGTGAGACGTCCTGAGCCTTACTCAGACACGTTCCAGGCAAATCTGAGTGTGTGGTGGTCTCAGGTTATAATAGGACCCTTGAGGGTAATGTTGTAGAGTGTCTAGAAAACTGGATGGCTTTAAGTTACTCATTTCTGTTAAAAATTTCCTCATGAAAGGGAGTCCTCAGGTTGGGGCTGTTAGGGGAAAGGTGTCACCGTGCACAACGAATTGTAACTTTAAAAAGCATGTTGATTTTTTATAAATTTAAGTGTGCTGGGGAATTCCTTAAATTTTGTGCAATAAACTATTTTTTGTTAAAGATTTTCATATTTCATTGGGGGCCTTATTTTAATATATATATTTTGCCATATTTGGGAGTAACTTTTATCTCGGGTTGTTACAAACTGTTTAAATACTTGTCTTAAAAGAGCATTTTACTGTTCTGCTAAAAGATTCAGATGGGTGTGAAATCTAACTTGTGCTGCTTTTGACCATAGCAGAAGAATGGCAGTGTGTTAGCCATGCCCTTCCCCGTGGCCCCCGGCGCACCTGCTGCCATGCGCAGGTGGGTACGAAGGGGAGGCGTCCTGCTGCGCGGACTGAGAGACAGGAGGGCAGGTGCCCTTTGGGCTGCGAGAATGTCCCTGTATGGGGTGTTGCGTCCACCACTGGGCCCCACAGACTGTCACAGCTGATGACAGCTGGGCCATTAATACTTCTGAGTCTCCGTGTCATGGCCCAGTTTCCCCTCTTCCATCCATACTCTGTTTTCAGAAGAGTTAGCCAGACGTGGGAAGTCTTCCGTTAAGTGTTCTCATTAATGACCAGCATGATAAAACTGTATAGAAAAGAAGTCAACTAGTGATCACTGAATGTGGTTTTGTGGCGGGACTTATGCATTTCTTTCCTAGGACTCCACTCTATCAGCTCCCCTCAACAGGGGTCTGTTAACACGCTGCACAGCCCAAGTGAGGATTCCTGACTGCCTCTGGTGTGGCCCTGACTCCCTGAAATGGGGAGGATGCAATCTTTGTTTTCTCTGCAGTAATCAGGAAAGGAAGGGTTCTGTGTCCCTGAACTTTTTTCTTCTGCCTGTAAGAGTGCTATAAACATTTGCAAGCACCAAACGAAGCATGCTGCACTCTCGGTGGTCGTACGGTGGGTGTTCAGGAGGGGCTGGGCACAGGTCGGTGGAAGGTGCAGCGGGAATGTGTGCTGAGGGAAGGACCCAAGACTTACCACTGAGGGGGAGCCTGGTATTCAGAGATCACCAGGTCACTCAGAAATCTCCTACCTTGTGCAGATTATGTGGGAAATACAAATAGGATTGTTTATGCTGCTACCATCCGGTTTGATGGATAAACACAGGAGCTGTTGGAAGAACCTCCAGGGCTTTCCTAGATGAGAAGGAATTCTCAGCCATCAGCAACTTCTAAAACCAGAAGCAGCATTTACTGGAATTCTGCTTGCCTTCATGCATGTTCTCACTCAGGATAACGAATGTTGCAGATTCTGGTAAAAAGTATACTTTGGGGATGTCTTTTCCTGGAAACAATGGGAGGTACTAAACTGTGTTGCTCTTCTCTTTTTTTTTTTTTTTTTTTGCCTGTTTGGTGTGGGGGCGGGCCCTTCTCGCATTCCAGCTCAACTCCTGGAGCTTGAGACGGCCAAGGGCTCGGGAAATAGCACCGTGACATCCCTTTGCAACAGCGTGCTTCCCGGCTAGGCTGGAAGTGTGTGGATCACGGCAGCATCTCGGCAGGAGGGCAGTGGCTCCCGGAAGCACCTGGAGGTTCTCATCCACACGGCCAGCGAACCGCAGGAGGAAATGGTCTGCGTGCTTTTCATACATAGTCTGGATCCGAACTCCACAGAGCGGGGGACGGTAGCCAGCTTAAAGGTATCTCACAGGACACCTCATTTTGTTTGTGAGCTTTATTTTTTTTAAAGATTTATTCATTATTTTTAGGGGCCCCTGGGTGGCTCAGTTGGTTAAGCGACTGCCTTCAGCTCAGGTCATGATCCCTGAAGTCCCAGGATCGAGTCCCACATCGGGCTCTCTGCTCAGCAGGGAGTCTGCTCCGTCTGACCCTCCCCCATCTCATGCTCTCTCTCAAATTGACAGAGAGCGAGAGCACAAGCAGGGGGAGGGGTAAAGGGAGGGGAGAAGCAGACTCCCTGCTGAGCAGGGAGCCGGATGTGGTGCTTGATCCCGGGACCCTGAGATCATGACCTGAGCCGAAGGCAGACGCTTAACTGACTGAGCCACCCAGGTGTCCCAGAGATTTACTCATTTTAGAGAGAAAGCGGAGGGGACTGGGAGAGAGAATCCCAGGCAGACTGCCCACTGAGTGCGGAGCCTGACGATGACTTGGCGCTCCATCTCACGTCTCTGAGATCATGACCTGAACCGAAATCAAGAGTC